TTCATTTAAAAGTCCCTTCATGTGGATGATGTCAAAGAAAGAATTGATAAGCTGAGACTATATGACTGCAAGATCCACAGCTGGCAATCAGCACAGTGAAAATACAAACTCAAACTCCAGTCTCCAGTATTTTCTCTCTTCTTCCCCTGACATCACGCTGCCTCCAGGATTCCCCCCAGTCTGCCTATTCTGACCAGAAGGTGTTAAGATCTTTCTGTGCTCTGAATTTGATTGCTCTGTCTCCATCCATACCCCCGCTTCACCTTACCACAGGAATTTTCCACCTTCCCATTCCAGAGGTACTACGCAGTCTTTTGTCAAGCAAAGCTAATAGAGAAAATAGAGATGGAAAACTCGTGGGAGAGGGGTTATAAAAACCAGGAAGGAGAGATAACCTGTGCCATGGTTGGAAATGAAGGAGGAAGAGCTGGCGCATGGAGGACAGAATTGAACAACATCCCTCTAAGACCTGGGAGAAATAATTTTCCCTTTCCTGCAGGGGTCCACAGAGTCACAGTTTATCCTGCAATCTTCACAGCAACTCCCCAGTTACATACAGAGAAAAGAGGAAGACAATGATTTTCAAAGCTGGTAAGAGCCACACCAGATCACCCCATGGGCTATACACAAAATGAGGGCAAAAGATGGTGTAAATTAATGAGGCACCTGGTCTTGTCCCTCAGCTTTCTCCCCAGCCTTCTGGATTTCCTCCCAAAAAGTTGAGTGTGTCACAAATATATACTCAAGATCACATATAAATATTACCTCATCACCTACATACATATACATCAACATCATCTCATTCATACCCGGGATAATTTCAGATATTCAGGTAGGTGCATACCTTCCAATGCACTTATCATACATGACATTTATAAACATGACAACAAAAATGTATCACCATGGAGCTTTGCTTCCGGCACATACCTCAACCTTTATCCAGACACATGCGTATACATGTCAGACATTCACAATCTCATCCTAACATATCTTGTTCACACACTCCAGAGCTGTCATATCCTCTCTGTAACTCCTCCAATTCTGGGCTCTCTCCTGAGGTCCCCAAGCCCCACACCTTGTAAGCATCACCCACTCAGAAAGCAACATCATCTCCCCTTCCTCCACCTCCATTTCCTACCTCCTCCCTTTCTGAACAAAGATAGATACGTACCACAGAATCAGGGACAGAACTGGACTCTATGAGATAGATAGATAGATAGATAGATAGATAGATAGATAGATATTCTTTTGTTCATCCATTTTTTTAGCAGTAGTGTTTAGTACCCGTTACGCTCAAGGTACCATTCTGATGAAACAAAAATGAGAAAAAAAAATTGGGTCCGTTCTCCGAAGCTCAGCTATAATGACCTTGAACCACAGCACAGGACACTGAGGCTAAACCTTATGAGCCCTGAGTGTGAACCAAAGAGGCAGAAAAGAAAAAGGAACCATTGTCCCGAAAGAGAAAAATTCTATCTGTAAAATAAAAAAAAAAAAAAATTAAGAGAAACTAAAGCAGAGGAATGAGAGTGGTGCTTGCACTATCCTGGAAGAATGTATCTGTGCTTTCCCTGTATGTGTAACCCCCAATGTCAGAAACCCAGAATGGTAGAACTTTGCCAGTCATAGCAAAGTGAGAGGTAGGTTGCTTGTCCCACTCCCACTGCATAGAGTTGAACCAGATTCCAAGCATGGGAACAGGGGCCATATCCATTGTGTCCACATACGTAACACCAGTGTCCAGCATGCCCCTGGGGCCCACAGGGGCATTCTAATCACTGTTCAGTGAACGAATGAACTGAGGCAGCAAACCAGTCTCTCTCTGTTCATGGTTTTTCTTAATTCACAAAGACAAGAGAAAGCTCTCTACCTCTACTGACCCTCTCGCAATCTCCAAAGCCCTCTGGTCTCAGAAGACTGGGCAGCCAAGTCAAATCCTTCACCTCAGGGATAGAGATGCCGAAAATCATCATGACTAACCCAGCATCTCCAGACCACTCTGTCATGCCTCAGAGTTTGTGAGTCTGCTTAGTTAAGACAATTTTTCTGCAGGCCACAGGTGAAATCTCATAATTAGAGACTTTTTCTAGCTCATGTTCTCTAGTTTCTCAATTTATCCTTGACAGAGTCCTACTTTGGGAAACAGAAATCTTGCATGTTCCTCCAAAAAAGAAATAGCATTGCACAATGATATTAGTGGGGTTCTTTCACCCAGAGGTAAAAATTCCACACCTGGCTTCTAAAGAGAGTTCTGGATGTCCTAGATTAGAAATTAAAAGAGGAAGGAGAGAATGGGTATGTTGAGCAGGAGAATCAAGATAGATACATAGGTATTTCATCTTCCTTCATTTCATTTACTACCCAGCCCTGAAATAATCATGTCTGCTCCTATTTCCAGATCAAATAACCTCCTCCTACCATAGCCCATGAAGAGGAGGAAGGCTCTATTTCCATTTAAGGAAATTCCTCCTTTCTCACCTCTTTAGAAACCACCTGACTGAGAGAATTGGGGAACTCCTCCTAGCCAGCAAAAATCCTAAATCCTTTCCTTTCCCTTTGAATCTGATTGTCAAAGCCTCCCGATATTCAAACAAAACCAAATCCAGAAAATCATAAACTTGGGATTTATCTTGATATCAAAATCTTTTTCTGCTTGGAAAAAAAAATAGAATCTACTCTGGTGATTAATAATCAGAAGACAATACTTTTCTAGGTTAATTAGTACACGTAGCCTTTTAAGGACCAGATCTCTTCACTGAAGAGAGTGAAGAACAGAATGATCCAATCAATAAGATTAGTGACCCCTGTCCACTGCATAACCCCATCTCCATCCCCTCTTAAGCACTCTGGAGGAACAGCTGCCTCTACTCCCTTCTGTTCCTCTCCCTTCAATGCCTCCTTTATTTATTTATTTAATTACTTATTTGGTACAGGGTCTTATTATGCAGCTCAGACTCAGAGTGATCCTCCTGTCTCAGCCTCCCCAGCACTGGCATTACAGGTTTGCACCACTATGCCCAATTTCAGCATGCCCAGGGTTCTGGGACCAGCATGGCATGTGGTACCAGGGATCAAACCTAGGTCCTTGCACTTGCCAGGAAGGTGCTTAGACTGCTGAGCTACCTTCCCAGCCCCAATACTTCCTTTTAGGGATCCCCTTCCCTCTCCACTGAGCACCTGTTACACTAAAGGAAGAAATAGTGATGGATTTTCAGGAACAACTTTTGTTTTAAAAGGTAGGGGAGATAGTAAAGTTGGTAAAACCCACTCTTCTACATGGTACCGCTACCTGGAATGGAGGCCAGGCGAGGAGGATGTAATGAGCCAATACAACTGCAAGGAAGATGTCCTGAGACATCTTGAGTTCTCACATTCATCAGTCCCTTCTTTGCCTTTCAATCACTTCCTACCTGCCCCTCTCTCAGCTCAGTTACCATTAACAGAGCATCATTTTCCATCAAGAATCACTCAGTGCTCCTCCCAACAAAAAGCAATTCAATCCGGTTTCCATTTCTTCATCCCAGAACTCATTCCAAGGCTGCGCTTCATTGAGCCTGGCAAATTGCATTGGCCAGAAGCAGCAAGGAGGGATGGGGGGACTAGAGAGCACATTTGAATCCAAGCCTTGTTGTGCACAACACCTCTGTTCTCCCTAAGGGCTAAGCAGTAAGTACCTAGACCAGACCCACCTGCCCAACATAAAGATGTCCTCAGTGCAGGTAAAGTATTTAGAGAACATCACAACCGCACCCATCTCTTCATCTCCTACCCCTCTTCACCTTTTATTAGAACCCAGAAATAGAAGCTTCAACACTCAAGACTGAGGAGGATACTGGGAAGGAATAGGGGTTCAGGGGCCATGTTTACTGTTTCCACACTAAACAGCCAAGCTGTCCTAGCAGAGCCTCTTCCCTGAGGTTTTAGACAGTCATCTCACGGAGTGGAGCATCTTCCCTTGTTCATGATTAAGAATCAACAGACTGCAGCGATTATCGATGGCAGCTGAATGGGAGGTAAACATGATGCACGGTGTGTCTTGTCTTTGACCTAATCCTCTCCACCTCTGAGAAGCAAAAAGAAAAGTTGCCTGCCTTCCTAAAGAGCAGTGTATGGGACACCTGAGTTCTTCCTTCCCCTATTTATTCCTCTCTAAACCCCCCAGGTCGTGCAACAATAAGATGTATAAATGTGCTTGGAGATCCTGGTAGAGCCTATATAAACAAAAAGGCTTTGCTCAAGCCAATTACAGTACCTTGCTCCTGTCAGTCAGTCTTTCTTCTCTACCACCCACTCTTATAGCTCCCAGGTGGGGCTCCAACCCCCCCTCCTCCAGATTCCAGGTGTGTCCTTAATATGCAGAGTGAGTTCCCAGGCCCCTGGAGAGATGAGTGACTAAAGTATGGGGTACCTCCATCCCCATACTTGAACCCCTCTGCAGGGTTCAAGAAGCAGAAACTACCGATTCCAACCAAGATACCTCTAACAGCAGGTTGGCACAATTATCCCCATGCACTAAACCTGCAGTTAGCTGTGTGCCATCAGTCTACACACCTCTGTGACCCAGACGCTCGTGCTCACGTATGTGATTTGTCTCACATCTGCACAACCCTGCACATGGATACGTGTGAGTCAGCCTGGCACCTCCTGAACACTACCGGTCTGCAGCCCTGCCACACCGCGCATACTGTGCACTTCTCAGCTCTGCGTGTCACCCGAGGGTCCAGAGGCACAAGCACATCATTAGCTTTGTAACTCCTAAACCGGCTCCAACCAACCGGTTTGCTCAGCACATGTCTTGAACATGTGGCCTGGACACGCGTGTCACGGTCGTGTTTCCTCGCACCTGACAACGTGTGCCCAGGACAATTTACCAGCCTGGCTCCAGCTATTCCCCACCATTACACACACACACACACACACACACACACACACACACACACACCACGCGCGCTCCCAGCTCCCTGAGGTCCCTTCCCCCCATCTCCCGGCCTGGGACTCACAAAGACCGAAGCTTAATCCACATCTTCTTGCTGGGGGCTGACTTCAGCTCCAGGGGTGACGGGCAATCGGATTCCAGCATCTCTGGAGGGCTTCGGGGGGACAGCTCCATGCTCAACCACTGTCTAGGGAACAGAGGGAGAAGACAGGACCTCGGCTCAGTTTCAGCACGCGTCAAAGAGACCCCTGCCCCGCATTCCTGGCCCTTCCCACCTGCGGCTGGCGTGGACCAGCCAGGTCGGTGTCTCTAGGGTTGGCCTGAGCTAGCAGGGCTGCAGTTCCTGCGGCTGCTTGTCTCCCGCCGCCAGCCAAGCTCCGGGCTCCCGGTCCGAGCTCTCCGCGCCGCCGCCGCCGCCGCCGCGCGCTACCAGCGCCGCCTCCTCGCAGCTCTCCTCCTCCGCGGGCCGAGCCCCCTCCCTCTCCCCCCTCCCTGCTCCCGGGCCTGCCGGCGCGCCAGTCTCTCGCTCCGCGCAGCCACTCCTCCCCCTCCCGGAGGAGCGATTGGAAGCGGGGGCTCACGCAGCCCCAAGCGCCCCGGCCGCGAGCGCGCGCACCGGCCCGGCACGAGAAGCTGCTGCGTGCGCCCAGCGCGCGAGGACAGGAGTGCGTGTTCACCCAGAGCAACGCAGGCGGCCGGCAGCACTGCGGCGGGGGCGGGGTCCCCCGGTGTGTGCTAGGGTTCGTATGTGCAAATGCAGTTTCATACATCCACGTGTGCCCAGCTGTCCTTGTGTTCAGTGTGTGAGGGAGGGAGGGGGAGGAGCCCACCCTTTCCCTGCGGGACTCGGGCACGGGTTGGAGAAGCCGCCTACCATCAGAGCCCAGCAGGACCGAACCCACCCGTGCTCTCGTCTTGGAAGGGAAAAGTTCAGGGTCCTCTCCGAGCTGTGCTGGCACCCCACACCTCCCACCCCCTCACTTCATCTCCTGACCTGTCTCCGTCCTGTAGCCTGCCACGGGGTGCCTCTAATCACTGCCTGGTCGACAGGAATTTCTCTCAAGTTTAAAGCCTTGCAGGAAAGGCAGCCCACATCTTCCTTGACTACCTAATAACAGCATACGGCCAAGAAAACATTGCTGATGGATCCTTTCAACCCTGCCTGCAGTCGTTCCGGCTCATTTCCTCTTACTTGGTCTTCAGAAAGAAATCTAAGGCTAACGGCCCAGCACTAAATAACCTAGCTGCTTAATATGTGGAATCAGGGGATGGAACTGGAACTCAGAATGGAGACCATGGCAAAACCTCTTCAGCCAACTGCATCCTACCTGAGGCTCTTGCAGGGACCACCCCCTCTTTCTCAGTATTGTGCACCCCTAACGACCACCCACTTCCGCAGGGTGAAAACTTCCAAGTAAACTCCCAAGTGCAGATGTAGTCACTAATTACTGGGTTCAATATAGGTTCCTAAACCACGATCTCAAAATGTGAATTTTAGTTTTAAAAATTCTAGAAAGTAGAAGGAGGGACGAACAGGAGTGGGTTTTTTCCTTCTAAATATCTAGTGGAAGCTCCCCCTTCTCCAGGAAAATAAGGAGAAAATAACAGAAGGGAATGATGAACTAGCAAAAAGGACAGTTTAGTGTGACTCTGTGTCAAAAGAAAAGGTGCTGGAAGGTAGCTCATTGTGCAAGCCCTGGATTCAAACTGACTCGCAACTTTATAAAAGAATTGCCAGTTTAGATCAGTGCTTTGGATCTGGCAAAAAAAAAAAAAAAAAAAAAGATCACCAGAAGCGGCTCCCAGGAAGTACAGAGGCAGGAAATGGCATAGTCAAGCTGGAGCAAAAAGAGAAAAGAATACCAGTACTTTCCCTTCTGTCCATCTAACTTTAGCACTGGTCCAGGTTGCTTCCTTGCCTGTCCCAGCCAAGAAGCAGCTGCACCTAAGACTCCGTCACACTCATAAACAATCCAGCTCTCAAATTCAGGAGCACAGGGAGATAGCTCAGTGCCATAAGCACCTGCCTAGCAAGCACAAGATCCTGAGTTCAATCCCTGATAACCCCCCCAAAAAAAAATTTCAAGTGTAATCTTCCTTACCCATTGAAAAAGCTGGAAACTAGAAAAGAATTGCACATTTGGGATTAAAGAATTCTAATTAGGCTAGGCATGATGGCACACACCTGTAATCTCTGCAATCAGGAGGCTGAGGCAGGAGGATCACTGAGAGGTTGAAGGGAGACTGGGTTACAGAAGGAGTTTGAAGCCAGCCCCTGAAGTACATAGGTACACTGTCCTTTTTTAAAGTCTCTACTTAAGGAATTAAGAGCAGAGCTGAATCAGCAGACTAAGTGCCTGTTTAGGCAAGTGCAGAGACAGACCTGTGTTCAATCCTCGGTACTGAATGCCATGCTGGCCCCTGGGCGCACTGAACCAACAATCAAGTCTGGGCATGGTGGTGCACACCTGTGATCCCAGCACTGGGGAGGCTGAAAACAGGAGGATCACTACAAGTCCAAGCTGTGAATGAGACTCTGTACCAAGTATGTAAGTTGTTTGTTTGTTTGTTTGTTTTTTAAAGTACAGCTAAGGAGGCCAGGGAGATGGCTCAGTGAAATAAGCGCTTCCCTAGCAAGCGCAAGGGTCTGAGTTCAATCCCCGGTTCCGCCAAAAATAAAAATAAAAAAAAATAAAGTACAGCTAAGGAGTTTCCCAATGTGGGCAAGTATTGTATGTAAACAAGAGTTAGGGAACAGGAGGAAACATTTCCAGAGTGATCTCTCATTTCCAGTCAATACAAAGGCACATCCAGTCGATCCAGGACCCTAAGTTCTAAACCATGTTAAGAAAAGAGCCATTTGGTCTAGGGCTGTAGATCAGTAGCAGAATTTTTGTCTAGTATATCTCAGGCTTTGGGTTTAATCTAAATTCTAAACCATGTTAAGAAAAGAGCCATTTGGTCTAGGGCTGTAGATCAGTAGCAGAATTTTTGTCTAGTATATCTCAGGCTTTGGGTTTAATCTCCAGCACTAAAAAAATAAAAATTAAAAAAATTAAGTTGTTTATAAAACAAAAGTCAGGGTCCATTCAGCCTAGTCTCTTCCACTTTTGTAAATGAGAATACTAAACCTAGAAAAATTACAGTGTCCCACAAACAATGACAAAATCTGAGCCTTCTTGTGCCTTTTCTGCTCTGTGGCTCTTTTGCTTTCTTTAGTCACCAGTGTTATGTTCACCTGTTCTCTTATTGCAAACCAATCACATTTCTGCTTTTCCAAACCTCTAAAAAGACCAGAATAGGGTGCACATGTTCCATTCATAGCCTCTTAAAGACAGTTATTCTCACCTTATCTGTTCTGCCTGTCCCCCACCTCCACCTTTCCAGGGCTCCTTCTGTCCCAAACTATTCCTCTTCTTTCCAGCTTCTGAAGTGCCCCCTACCTCTTGGAAACCCTGCCTCCTCGCTCCCCTAACCCTACAATCCTTTCTAAAAAGCTCTGAGTTTGATAGAGACCAAAAATGATGCTTTGGCAGCAGGTGACGGATAGATGTGATCTGCCTCCTACAGGAATGCTATTTAAAGGGGTGGCCCCACAATCCTCTCCTTCCAAAGTGACAAGGGAAAAGCCTGCTCCTCAATCTCTCCAGTGCTGCAAACTCAGCTCAACTTAACTTCTGACTTCCCCAGCCTGCACCCTGGCCTGCTGTTCCTGCTTCCTGTGCAGGTGGGAGGGAGAGTACTTGACAACTCATGAGGTGTGGGGGCTGAGGGGGACTTATCTTCATCTCCCTTGATGACAGGTACTCAGAAGCAAGAGGCCCCGTGGGGAGGAGGACTAGAAGAACATTCTTCCCCCAGCAACCTAAGTGCGTTTCAACCATGTGCCAGCTCCTCTAAATCAAACTTCATCAGAAAAGCACAGATGCTGGCATGAGGGCCTAAGGCTAAGGAAACCTCCCTAGCCAGAACCTCCATCCCCCTTGGTTCTGGTGCCCAAACCATAGCTGTTCCCTTCCTCCAAGACAAAGTGCCAGGGCAAGGTGCCCTTGGCCACACCTCTGGCCTCTGCACCTTGAAGCTATCCTCCTCACCTACCCCCTGCATCCAGCACCACCGCAGAAGAGGCAGCCATGTCTCCACTGCCCAAGGGAAACAGAAGGCCTGGCACACATCTCCTGGACCTGGTGGGAAGCATAATTCCATTTCGCTGCTGCAAATGAGTTAATGGAGACTTTAATGAAAACACTGCACTAATGAAAATGCTGAGGCTAGAACCTACTCTCTGTGTCCAAGACAAGACAAAGCAATTGGGGCCAGAATTTCTCCTGATAGTCATTTTTTATTTCTTTTAGAGCCTATGCAAAGCAAGCTGGGATCTGGGAGCAAAAACTAGCTTATTGTGCTAAAAATTCAGAAACTGGTCAAGGAAACAAATTGCTGAAATACTGATAGATCCTGTTACCTGATATGTCCCTTCACCCCTCGACCTCCACTTCCTGTTTCAGGTCCTGTGTTCTCACCTTTTCCTACTGGAGCCCTGGGCTTGAAGAGTTCCCTTATGAAGAAGCAGTCTGGTCAGGCAAGAAGGTCTAAGACCAAGCATCAGACTTTGATCCCAACTGTAGTATTACTGCTAAACATTGGACTTTCATTAGGTCATTTAATGCTATTGAATTTGTTTCCTGACCTGAAATTAGGACGCTTCCCCTGGCTACCTTGCAGAATTGCTATAAGGATGCAAAAGCGCTTTGAAAAAGTATACTTGGTTCATAAATGCATGTATAATTACATGTTTATGAAGAGATATGGCAAACCACAAAATTTTAGAAATGGAGAACAAATCTGTGGCACCAGGGGTAGGGTAAAAAGGGGGGTTCAGGAGAGAAGTGGGTGTGGTTATGATAGCCACATGAGGGGTCCCTGTGATGCTCAAACTGCCCTGACTCTTGACTGTGGTGATGGATGCACAGACCTACATGTGACAAAGCTGCACAGAACTAAATACACATACTCAGAGAAATGAGTATAAGTAGAACTGGAACATCTGGATAAGATCAGTGGATTATATCAATGTTAATATCCTGGTTGTGCTAGTGTACTATAGTTTTGTGAGCAGTTACCAATGAGGGAAACTGTAAAGGTACACGGGCTCCTCCTGTATTACTTCTTACAAGGGCACATGGGTTACTATCTCAACAAAATTTTCAATTTAAAAAGGGTACTATGTTTGCCCTCCACCCACCTGCACCAACTTGTCTTGCTGCCCTCTGGGAGAATCCTAGTAAGTAGTTCCCCGTGCAAATGGGAAGGGTTTCCATCCACTCAAGTTGAAGAAACAAGCAAAGATTTTAAGAATGTAGGGTCCTTGATTATATTTTTCTGAGCCTTCTCTCCCTCATCAGTTGTGCTCACAGTCTCAGTAGGCCTGACACTGAATCACTCCTTAGAATGCAATGTCCTTCCCATGGCAAGGAAGGACGATTAGCTGAGGCATGAAGTAAGATTCTTTTGCTTGTTTCCTAAAGAGCAGGCAGTTGTTGCTTAGAAAAACTTGTGTGTTGATTATGGGTGCTAAGTTAAGAAACAACTAAGCCCAGGTCTGGAGAAATAAAAACACACATAGAATCCAAAGCAGCTACCAAACAGTTTAATGAAGGCCGGATGGTTTTGCCTAAAGCCAACAAAAGCTTCCCTTTCATGATGAAAATATGAGTATGACCCTAATTAATCACCTAGCTAATTACATTTGCCCATTACAACCACTCCACACTGTGACGTGCATGATCTGGTGCTCTAGTCGTCCCTGGCAGTGGGTGTACATCAGTGATGGATGGGGCCACTGCTTCCTGCCTTAGAGTTAACTAAACCTACTTTTGTGCTATCTTAAACGCCCCAGGCTCTGTGACACTTGAAATTCTAATTAGTGCAGCAAAGGGCTAAGTTGAAACAGCTTGTACTCCCTCGAGGTACTCACGCTCAGGGCCCTACAACCTAATGAGGTCTGTGAAATTTAAGATCTAGAAAAGAAATCCCTGCCTAGAGCAACAGCTGTACCTAGGATGAAAAGAGGATTTGGGGTTAAGTTAGTCCCTCCAAAAAGGCAGAATGTCCCTGAATGGGTACAGGAGGGAAAACCCACAGGAGTCCTGTCCACTTGGTGTCATGTGACCTAGGATTAACCTAAACTACCCCTCTGTTCAGGGCTGTGGAGATAGCAGAGAAAAAGCAGGCAGGTGAAAACAGCAGAAAATTTATTCATTACTCATGGTGACAGGTGAGTGTGTGTGTTTTGTGTGTGTGTGTGTGTGTGTGTGTGTGTGTGTAACTCCATGAAAGATGTTTTACCCCACCTCAGTGGGAAAAGCAGGCAAATAGAGGCAGAGGAAGAGCCCCACAGAGAAGAGAGGTCCCTCTCCTGCTGCTCTGCAGTAGGAGCAGGTTGGATGTTTGCTGAACACATTTGGGAAAGGAAGAGAAGAGATAATCGTCCTAATGAATGTGCAGGAGACAATAGCAGCTCCAGTGGGAGGATTATAAGCTCATTATGGTTTAATATGATGATTGATCATCTCTGCCCGCCAGCATTATCCTAGAATAGTGATGAAGGTCGGAGAGGCCCATGCCTGTCGGAGCTCAAGCTCTAGTCACTAGAAGATAGGAAATGTACTTACATGTTACTTTTTTGTGATAAAAATTCACATACGTGGCCCCAGTCCTCCATAAACTGTCTTTCATGCCTTCAGAATGCCCTACTTTTCTCTGATTTCTCAGCCCCGCACTATTCCTGTTCACCTGTTCATCACTTCTGGCTTCCTAACCCTTTCCCTAGTGACCCCCACCCTATTCCCACCCTCAAGATAATGACCACAGCTTCCACTCTGGTGTGGCTTTTGATGGATGCAAAGGGCCTTTCAGTAGGTATTTGCAGGCACCCGATTCAGGTGGAAGGCCCGAGATACCTCCCGATAGGCATTTCGAAGCAGGACATAAGGGAAACAGGATTCCAGCATATCCAGGGTCAGGAAGGATGACTCCTCCACCACCTGGAACAGACATGGCCAAGAGATGAGCACCTCTGGTAGGACATATCTCCATGACACTCTTCTTCATGCAATTCCTGGACCATCTGTGGCCATGAAAGCCACAAGTGAACTGGGTTGCAAATCACATTTCCCCCTTCCTCTCTCACTTGGTTTAGCTCCAGGAGGGCAACATCGCCTCCTCTCTTCCATTATAATCATCTGTGTCCTCTTCATCAGGGTAAATATAAAGAGCACAGAATCAGAAGGGAGACACAAGAAAGAGGAGAGAAAAACAGTGTACCCAAAATGTGAAATCCTATGTGAGTGGACAGCACAGATCAGATGCAGGTAAAGATGGCTAAAAGTGGCAATTACAAAGCTGTACAGCAAGAGAAGCAATTGTCACTGCAAGCCAAGCATGAGGGGTCTGGCATCCACACGGGTCCTCTTGTGCTGGGCTTCAGTCTCTTCCCTCTATTAGCACAGTGCTTGGGGACCAGTAAGGATGCTACATAAAGGAGCAGGCATGATTAATTAGTTTAATTACAAGCCTGTGTGCTGTGGTAATCCCAGCAGCCCCCACAGCCAAGCAGGAAGATAGATCAGGATGCCTGGATGAGACTAAGGGAGAGGGTAGGGCTGGGGCTGGCAGAGGGGCCAGGCTCCAAAGAGCAGCACAACCCAGCATTGGGCTGGAGAGTCTCCATCACTGGGGAAGAACTGAGTGTATTTCCTTCATCCTCCTCCTCATCCAATAGGTTACAGGGACTAAACCATGCTCTGGAGAGGTGTGTCCCACTCCATACAGCTGGCAGTTCCCACATGTGGGTCCTCCCCAATCTATCTGCTGTTTTGAGTTTTAAAAATGTACTAAGCATATCTCTCTGTGTCTGTCCATCTGTCTCTCTCTCTCTCTCTCTCTCTCTCTCTCTCTCTCTCTCTCTCTCTCTCTCTCACACACACACACACACACACCTTTCAAGTTTTACAATTTGTAAGATTTTACTGTTCTCAAATACCTGCATGTGCAGTACGCACAGCAGCCTCAGAAGAGCAGAGCCTACAATCTAAAGACAAGGCAATCTGGTGGCAGAACTGCAGCCCTGATCCAAGGCTGACAACAGAAAGAATTCCCTGCTTGACAAGATCTCCAAACCCTAGACCAGGAGAATGACGAGCTCTTGTCTCCAGATACTGAACTACCCTCAGGTACCTGGAACTGAGTGATGCTTTCAAGAAGGGTCCACTGGCCTGTGACTTCCTAGGGTCCATAAAGCAAAAGAAAATAACAGGGATTCTAACTGGCAGGCATTTATAGTGGTTGTGGACAAAGGAATCCTTGACTCTCTCAGCTTCTTCACCTATGAATTGTAAGTACTGGACTAATTATTGGGATTTGGTCTGGCTCTGATATCAAAGAGTCCATGATGCTCTAAGAGTGGCATCATTTTCCCCCCAGGAAATCTAGGCCAGGAACAGACTAGCAACACTGGGCAGACACTGCTGGGATTTGACAGCAAACAGAAAGGCCCCAGGGAGAGATGGACTAGTCAGAATTTGGGGCTACATGAGTGGCCTTTTAACTCAAGAAAATAGCTCTGTTCCCTCCAGGCGTTTCCAACTTCTCTATGGAAATATTTGCATTTAAATCATTTTGCACAACTAGTCCCTCCAACCTCCATGTCCTGCATGAGAAGAGCCTAGTCCCAGCTCTGGTCTGCCAGCCTCTCTGGGCAGACACTTCCCACACCTTGGGGTAGGAGTTGGAGCAGAAGTCAAAGCAGAGGAGTGGGGCTGAGCGGCAATTGAGAATCACCCCACCTTCCAGAGATGAAAAGCACCACAGGAAAGAGGGAAGGCTGAATCAGCCAGAAACAAAAGTGAACAGCAGAGAGCTACTTTTGTTGAGTAACTATGTCCTAGGCTCACACATATTATCTCATGAATTCAAGCCACTCTGACATAAGGATTATTGCCCTATTTTTTGGATAAGGAATCATGCTGCTCTAAACACAATGATTCCCCAAGTCCACTTCTGGCTTTTGCCCTCCCTCTGGTCCCATTGCCCCCCTCTGCCTCTTACTTCTCAGCATGCATGCACGTGCACGCGCGCACACACACACACACACACACACCCCTTCGTGTCCATTCTCTCCTCCGTCATGGCCTGTAATCAGCCCTGGCCTTTCTCTAGATGGAGAAACTGAGACAGAGTTACCTCTTGGAAACTGGGTATTTTAATTTTTTATTGTTCTTACAGTTTTTGAGACAGAGTCTTAGGACGTAGTTCAGGGTGGCCTTGAATTTGCAGTCATCCTCCTGCCTCAGCCTACCAAGTGCTAGGATTACAGATTACGCCACCATGCCCAGAAGCCTGAGTATTTAAGGAAAGAGGCCAGAAAAGAGTCTGTCTCTACACTCGTGGACCCAGGCCAAGGTTACAAATGGAGCCCCACACAACAAATGACTAAGAAGCAAATTAAACTAACAAACTGCTATGCTCTTTCAGTTTTCACAATATACTTTTGTAATTACATGGAAATCTGAGCCTGAACTAAGGATTCTTAGACTCCCCAGAGTTCTGCCCCAGAGCAAGGTTTTAAAAAAAACAAAAAAACTGGAACCAAGTTCTTGCCACATCTTTCCAATTTCTCATACCCAGCATGAGGGATTTTGTATACATATGGCCTTCCCTCACTCTATATCTAAACTCCAGCCTCATACTTCTTAGACACCACAGGTAAATCCAGTCTGCCTCAGGAGATGGACTTAGAAAGAAGTTCCACAAAGGCCCTACACAGAGCTAGAGACTTTGGGGATCTCACATACATTTAATGTGAACTTTCAGGTGGGTCACAGGCTCCAAATGGGAATACCCTGTCCTCACAGACTAAAGGAGGGCCTCTAAAACACAGACCAGGGGCAGGAGCCTCCCCTGTCCATATCTAAACGTGCGGCACTTAGAATGTCCTGGAAAATCAAACTTTTAGAGCAAAAGAATAAGCATGCTTAAAAGGGTCATGAGGAAAGATATTATTTTAAAATCAACTGAGTCAGAGTTCTCAGAACTTTCTACCAGAATAAAGACAACCCCGCAGCTTCGGGGGCAAGGAGAAGACATAAGGAGGCACTTCCAGATTCATGGCCCACAGAGCTTTCAGTCTTAGAGCTGAAGTCCCTTCCCTCTCCTGGATCCACTCCCAAACTCCCTCAGTTCCATGCTGTATTACCCAGTATACTCTTCATATTACTCTTAGACAAGAAATAGGCGAATACAGAATTATCAAGTACAACCAAACACATGCTGGAGAGGGACTTATCCATAAGAAATGTGGCTGCCCCACTAGGGAACACTGCAGGAAAAGGCACCCAGGCAGCAAGAGCTAGGCAATCCCTGTCCTGCAGGAGTCCTTGAATACTCCACTCTGGGATTATAGGACATCTAGAATGTTCACCAGGATGTGAGGACTAAATCCAGCCAGTCAGGCACAATTTAGTTTCATTAACACTTTTAGGTGATGATAATGGCAGGGACCCAAAGACCCGAAAAAGGAAGTTTCCCTCCAGCCTTTCCTCTCTTCTCCCAGTCAAGCTTAAACAAGATACATACCAAGCGCATGAGCAGAGAAATGGATTCCCGATTTCTGGTTTTAAGCTTGTCAGTCTCCTGGCCCAGTTGCAAGAGGCTGACAGAAGCCACCTGTAAAGGAACAATTGTAAAATAGATTTTATGGAGGTCAGAGTAGGACAGCCTCAGGCTATGGGAAGTTAAGAAAAGATCAAGGAAGAGAGTTAAGAAGTGCTGGGATGCTCCTAAGGGCTCAGAGTGGAAAAGTGACCAAGTCCTCTAGGCTTTGGAGGTACATGTGGCCTATAAAACAACCTGGATCCAATTGGCCTGCCAGCACAGACAGCAGCGGCTTGCAGACGAGGGTGGGGGTGAAGGGGCCAAGGCAAGGGAAGAACCTAGAACAAAGGCTGCTAGTACTGTGTGCCCAGAAATTAATGTCTCTTCCAAGGCAGCCTCCAGATAGGGAGGCTGTTTACAGCTGACTCCCAACCCACCGGAGCTAAGCCCAGCCTCTGATTCAGACATAGTGCTCTTGGTATTCTCCTCCTGTCAACTGCCAAGTGCCTGTCATCTCCATTCACCTCCAGGTCCCCAACAGATCAAAGAAGGAGGAAGAATTATGAGTCATATCCCAGGCCCAGGCTACCAGCATTTAGCAAACAAATCGGATAAAAGGCAAAAGGAAGGCGATTGCTTCCTATCTTAGAGATCTGACATGAATCCTCTGTATATTTCAGATGCTCAGAGTCTTTTGAACGCTCAGAGCAAGCCCATTTGTCTGGTTCATTGTTCCAGCTTAAACAGAGACCTTGTGACCAATGTAAGGGCCCCTGGCATGTACTTCTCAGGACAAAGACATAAGTCCTAAAAGAACAATATGGTCACTATTTCCTCCTAGAAGGAGAAAAGTGAGGTCCTAGTTCTTAAATTAAGACTAGGCTTGGAGAAAGAAGCAGCTCCCTATTACTGAGAATGCTCAAGCATGCAAGTGGGTAATGGACCATGTATCAGAAATGAGTGGATGGGAATCCTCCAAGGAGGATTTAGCATGGGAAACTCTAGAGCCTCTTTCAACTAAGGAAGGAGATTATTTATTCTGTGTTTTTCCAGAGGCAAAACTATGATCAATAGTGATAGTTGCAGGGTGTAACTCTGACTAAAAATATTTCTTAAACAATTTTTCAAACAAACTGGACATGACCTACAATGGAATCCACTGCCTGACTGTAAGCTCCAATCCCTAGAAATCTAGAGCAATAGTTCTTATAGTAAGAACCCAAGACAAAGAACACCAACGTTAACTGGGAACTTATTGAAAATGTAAATGCATGCAAATTATTCAGGTGATTCTGATTTACAATAAAGTTTGAAAACCACTCATTGATGGCTTGTCAGTACAGAGATAGAAAGGGCCATATGTATTACAAAACTCAGAATCTCTACAACTTTAATGCATATTTGATCTCAGGGAGACCAAATCAGCAACACAGAGGCCTGGCCTCAGTCTAGCATGTTCCAATTCAGTGGGTCTGGGGTTAAAGATCAGTAAGCTTTATTGTAACAAGCTCACAAAGAGATACCCTGATGAATCAAGGTACTGGGTCACACATTCGGTTTAATCTCCCAGGTTTATAAGTAAGAAAACAGAGGCCTCATTAATGCGCTCTTCAGAATTCACACAAGTTCATAGTGGTAGAATTCAGATTAGCTTACTCTTTGTCCAGAATCCTTTCTTAGAATTCTCCAGCTGTTGGAGGAAATTAGAACAAATTCCTATCTTTTTAAAAAAATTAATTATTTATTTGATATAGGATCTTGCTACACAGTTCAGACTCATAGTGATCCTCCTGTCTCAGCCTCCCTAGTGCTGGGATTACAGGTGTGCGACACCATGCCCAGTTTCCAGCTGGCATGGAGGTCCAGCGGTTCTGGGGCTGGCATGACATGCAGTACCTGGGATCAAACTCAGGTCCTTGTGCTTGCCAGGCAGGCCCTTAGACCGCTGAGCTATCTCCTCAGTCCCAAACTCCTATCTTTTCAATAGTAGCCTTTCACTATTTCTTGAATGAATCAGGAAGGAAGATAGACTCAAAAGCTTATTTAGGGGATGGTGAGATGGCTCAGTGGTCTAAAGCACCTAGTTAGAACAAGCTTACCAAAGCACAGGGACCGCAGTTCAATCCCCCAGCACCACATGCCAGCCAGCCCTGCCCCCTGGTGGGCTGAGCTGGCCACACACACACACACAAATAAATAAATGTAGCCTTAAAAAAAAACTGTTATAAGAAAAAAAGCTTATTTAACAATAACTGTCTATGAACTTTAAACACACTCCAGCCCTCAGCAATCTCCCTCTCCTTACAATCTAGACCCACTCACCACTAGAAATTCCTTAAGGTGTGTTTCAATGTTCTTGTTGTAGAGCGTGAAGAGAGCAGCGGACACCTGGATGATGGCCTTGGTCAGGCAGTGGATGTTGTTGTTGTAACCTAGGTTATTATGGATAGAGAAGAAGTGACACAGGGAAATGATGACATGAGCCACCCCAGGCTGAACCCAGGAGATAATTTCTCATATGTTCAGTGTGGGTCTCTCCCATTTGACACCAAAAGAACTAGAAGATAGTTGGAGGTTAGGAAGGATTGTGGGACATTTATTTGGCTGAAATAAAATTTTATTGTTCACTCTCAAGTGGTTTTTATTTGTTTGTTATAGAAGTGTTGTCATTGTTGTTGGTGAAGTTTGAGACCGTCTGCTAGGTAACCCAGGCTGGCCTCAAGTTCATGATTCTTCTCTCTCCGCCTCTGGAGCACAGAGAATACAGGCGTGTGCAGACACACCTAGCTGATGTGATTTTTTTTTTCTTTGTGGAACTGGGGATTGAATTCAGGCCCTTGAGTTTGCCAGGCAAGCACTTATTCTACTGAGCCATCTCCCCAGCCCCTGCTGACGTGATTTTTGAAACAGAAATTTATACCTCTATCAGAGCTTTCTATGTTTTGGGTGTCTTTGTCCTATTTGTCTCAACTCCACCCCACACACTAACCTAGACAGCACTGCTCCTTCAAACCTACTGCTTACCATCCTTTTCAATGCTATAGAAGGAAGAAGGGTCCATGGCAAGGAGTGGGAGGGAAACTGCAAGAAAGATCAGGAGCAGGCAGGCCACCTTGTATTCCTCTTCAGGGGAAGAGTTATCTAGTGAGGGAAAAAAAGAAAAGCAACAAAGGTTAGCAAACAGGGGCTGTGTTCATGAGAACTCCATTGTACAAAATTATGTTCATGTGAGAAAATATCTATGGAAACTCTTTGCCAAGCACTGAAGGCAGGTTATTATTGCTGAATGAGACAGAACTGACATCCCCATAAAGGGACAGCCTGAGTCTTGGAAGCCTCCCATGAGAAAGGCAGTGCTCTTAGCCAAGGGCTCTAAGACATCCATCAGAGCCCTGACGGGATGGAGAGGCAGAAAGGGGAGAAAAAGAGTCTCGGCGACCAACAGAGAAGGGAAGGGGTGCATTTTGTCATCTTTTTTTTTTTATGTGTGTGTGTGTGTGTGGCCAGCTCAGCCCACCAGGGGGCGGGGCTGACTGGCATGTGGTGCTGGGGGATTGAACCGTGGTCCCTGTGCTTTGCTAAGCTTGCTCTAAGTAGGTGCTCTAGACCACTGAGCCATCTCACCAGCCCACATTTTGTCATCTTGAAAGGGCTTAATACCAGCCCTTTGGTTGTATTCTCTTCTGGTGCGTTAAGAATGAATATGCTAATCAGAGGAAACGTGTTATGGAAGATATAAGAGACAAGTCTGAGATTGGGGAAGGAGTGGATAGTGTCAAAGTGATTTTATGTGGGAGGGAAGAGCACAAGATCACTGTGGGGAACTTAGATACTCTACCACACAGCTTAGCGTGAAATCATATACTATTTTGAATGGTTCTCTCATTGATTCACTTGCATTAATATTATCTCCCCATCCCAATTACAAACTCCTTTGAGCACTTGCTGTGTATCAAACAGACTCTCACTGAGAACTACTCTTCAGCTGAACTTCAGTTCCAGCTGGTTGGAACCTGAGGTGGGACCACAGTAATGCATGGAAGTACTTTTTAGAGGTTAGGGTCTACACTTTATTTTTTTTTCAAATTTATTTATTTTTATTTTTTTAATTATTTATTTATTTTTATTTATTACATTTATTTATTGTGTGTGTGTGTGGCCAGCTCAGCCCACCAGGGGGCGGGGCTGGCTGGCATGTGGTGCTGGGGGATCAAACCGCGGTCCCTGTGCTTTGCCAAGCTTGTTTCAAGTAGGTGCTTTAGACCACTGAACCATCTCTCCAGCCCCAGGTCTACACTTTAAACCTTTCCTACCTCCCAACTTATATTCTCTGAACTCATAATTACAAATAAAAGCTTCTTTAATATTGTGATTTTCCCACCCAAAAGTAGGGCATAAGATTTGCTCCTTGCCCTGCCTTACCAGCTTTCAGATTGGCAATCGCAGCTACCAGGGCTGGATCAATGTCACAGTCCACCCCTGCAGCAGATGCCAGCTCAAAGACACTCAGGGTTACCTGGTAGGGAAGAAAACAGCATTCTCAAGAGGAACCCCAAGAGAAAAGTGCTTGTCAAAAGCTATAAACAGCTAGATTCAAGGGTCACACAAATACACACACACATACACACACACACACACACACACCCTACTGCTCTTCACATTGAGCCACACCCCCAACCCCCTTTTAAAATCTATGTTTTAGGTCTTGTTAAGTTTCTTAAGTTCCCCAGTCTGGATTCAAATTTTCAAACTTCCTGACTCAATCTCCCAGAGTGCTGGGAATATAGGTGGTTGCCACTATACCCAGCTTTTGAATCACAAATCTAAAACTTTTGATGTGCTATTATTTTTTCTAGATATTCCTTTCATAGTTCTTCCTAGCCTACAGGGGAAAAAAATCCCATATGCTTTAGCTCAGCATTTAGAACATCCCATGGTACAAATTTACTTTTCAACCTTATTCCCTAAATGCTTAATTCAGTTGATGCCAAGGTAATTTATTTAACTGTTGCCAAATTACAGCTTCCTTCATTTAATACTTTAGTTCTCATCTTTTCCCTTCTTCTAGTGTCCCTTCCTTTCCTCTACCTATAGCTGCATAAGACAGCCAACACTTTCCCTTAACTCAAATCTCATCACCTCTGAATGCTTAGGCCTTAACCCTTCCATTCCTCCCTAAATTGATACCACTGACCTAGCCTGGCTCATACACAGTACCTGATATTAGTTATCATTTCAGAGGAGGGGACAGGAGAGGCATGATTTATCTCATCAAATAGACTAAAATGTTTAAACCCCTTGGCACAGTGAAACATGAAGGCAGCTTTGGAAGAAGAGAGATCTGGGCTCAAACTTTACTGATACAACTTATTAACAGTGTAACTTTCACTTAAAGTTACTTAACCCCTTTGGGCCTCAGTTTCCTCATCCATAAAACTGGAATAATAATATTTACTCCACAAAGCTGTTCTGAAGATTAAATTAGACCACAGATGTCAAGCACCTGCCCTGATGACTAACTCTTCCTTCATCTTAAAGCCAGGAACTGTACCTTTTTCTTTAACCTCTCCAGGAGTTCAACACCATGCTAATCACATAGAAAGCACTGAATAAAGATTGACCAATACTGAAGCAAGTTCCCAGGACACAGCCCCAAACCCACACTCCAACACCAAGTACTGAGACCCCTTTTGAAAACAAACGCCCTTTAAGTGTCCTGAGATAACAAGGATAATTGTTTCAATGAAGGACAACTAAGTAATGCATCTTTAGGCATACTCCCCACCCCAGGATGTTAGAGCACACACACACTTGGTCCATGGAACTGACACAACCAGAATCTCAGACATCTTCTATGATCCAGATGAACCTGTCTGTCACAGCCATAGCTAAGCAGATCAGGGAACTGGTTTCTCAGAGAAAAGGAAGGGTTGCAGGGGTCTCATTTGTTTTTAACAGGCATTCAACAATGGTTGTTCTAGTGCACATTGTTGTCTTCAATGGAGTTGCTCAGATAGGGGTCTCATTTTTCTCTTCTAGTCTTATCAGTCTTCTGAGGCTGTAACAGAACCTCTGATGGCCAGGTCATCTTCTTCTCTACCCACACCTGCTGATTTTCACAGGTAAACAGAGCCTAAAGATCCAAGCTGCCAAACGGACACCAGGCACACAAGCTCCTGCCAGGCTTGAGAAGTCAGCCCAACATCAGCAGCTGCCAGAAACCCCAGCTCAGTGAGAAAATCAAAGACAACTTAAGAGGAGCAGTCAACCAGTGAAGCCCTGGCCCTCACTGCCCCTATGGCCACGTGACCAGTGGCAATTTCAGAAGGATAGTGGCAGCAGTTCCTAACTTTTGAATCCAAAGTACATTTTTTTCTTAACATCCAATTTTAATTCTTCCTGCTCACCAGTTCCCTTGTATCAGAACTCTTTCCTTTAAAAGGATCAATTATAAGAGAAGCTTCTCCTTCGTGTTGGAAGGACCTTGTCCCTCCCCAGGCTTGGACTGCCCTTCCTGCCTAACACATTCATTAGCTCCAGATGGTTCAAAAGACAACCTGATGGGGACAAAGTGGAGTGGGGTAGGGATTCGACATTTACTTCAGGTTGTCTGTAGAAGTCTTTTTGCTCTGTCAGTCTCCTGTGGCCCTAAGGTCCATGATACAGGCGTGGATGGGCAGGTGGGTTGGGGAGAGTTGGAAGGGAGAAAAAGCCAGGAAAACAAAGAAAACTGAAGGCTGGCGGGGTGGCTATGCGTCAAAGAACCACATTTTGCAAAACACCCAAACTCCTGAGCAAAGAAGTAACCTGTTTGCACATAGCTTGATATGTAATTTGTATATTGCTCATTTCAAGTAAAAACTTATATCCACCATCCCAGGTCTCACCTCTTTCTGTTCAGAATCTTTCCCAGATTCCCCCAGGGCTTCCACTTCTCTCCGCACCCCTCAAGTCTCTCCAGCTCTGCCTTGTCTCTCTCCTAAAAAGCCTGCCTCACCAGTTTTCCTGTTTGAATCCTGGCCCTTGTTCCTAAAATGTCCTTCACACTATTTTTTCCCCTTTCCAAATCGCAGCTACACATCCTCTGCCCACAAAGAAAGCCTTCTGGCTGGATGCTGCTCTATACCCCCTACCTTGATGTCTGTGTCTGGAGTGACAAATTCCTTCAGGTACTCAATGGGACCCATGAGAAACGGGCAGTGGGAGGAGAAAACCTGGAGGAAGAGAAAATGAGTGAATCCACCACACAGAAGCCAGCACCTCCAAAACCAGGTAGAAGCTGACAGGAAAGGGGCCTTGACTTAAAGAACCTGCCAGCTTTCCAATCTGCCCCTCTCCTTATGCGTCTGGTTTCCTAAGCTCATTCATCCATCCACAGGGATCTTCCAGGACCCCTGCTAACTTAAGCGGCCTAGATTCAGGGCTCACCAACCTCTTCCACAACTTCTCTCACAAATCCTACCACAGCGGTGACTGATTCTCTTGCAGGCAGTTTCCTCCTACTCACCTCTCGAAGTCCCTCTTGGGCCATGGCCCTAAAACTGAGGATCACTCCAATGATGGTCATGCGCTTCAGCACATTCTCAGCCCCTGAGGAGAAAGGCTGTTAGAGAAGAAGACTTGGGAGAAGAGCAAAGGTTTCATCCCCCAGATCCCTGAGAAGCCCTTCCACTCACAATGTTGCTCCCCTAGTTCCTCCTGAAGGCAGGAGAAGACATTTACCTGTCAGCTGGGGCAGCAGAGATGCCATCAAGTCTGGCTTGCTAAAGTTGGATCGGATCTGAACAAGGGTATCCATGTTTTCCACCACTAGCTTCTGCAGCTCAAGAACACAGAAATTAAGCAAGAAAGAAAAGAGGCTAAATATTCCATCTTCCCCTTTCTCCTTCACCTACCCCTGCCCCCGTGGCAGGATGGTTTATTTGCAGGGTCCTTTTTTTGGAGGGGGTCCACAGTACCTTCAGCTCCACAATCTGAGAGGTCACATGCCACATCAGGTTCTCACTCAGAAACTTCATGCCGTAGGGACCCAGGAGTTCAGCCAAGGCTCGCATCTCTGGAATAGTTTTAGAGGTCCCAGGTGGGATTCCAAACATATTAGGGCACTGGTACATCAACTACAGGGTAATTTGAACATTTAACATGTTGTCAGGCCAGGCATGGTAGCTCATACCTAGAATCCCAGCACTCTGGGAGGCTGAGGCAGGAGGCAAGGGGATTACAAATTCAAGATCAGCTGGGAAAATTAGCAATTTATTAAGAGCCTGTCTCAAAAATTTAAAAAGTTTTTTTTAATTAGAAATTTTTAAAGGGCTGGGTATGTAGCTCAGTGAAAAGCCCTGGGTTCAATCCCCAGTATCAGTCAATCAAATGTTGTCCAGGAAGGAAAGGAAGTGGAAAGTCAGGGAATCAAAAAATGGTCTAAAATCCAACATTCAGGTGACAGTTCTGACCTGTCCATGGGATGTCTTACCTCCTCCCACCAGAATTCAAACCAAGACTTACTATAAACGGTAACTATTAATTTTCTTATAAGAATCTATACTTTCCCAAGCTTCTTCAAATGGTACTGGTTTTTACTCATGCTTTCCTACCTGCTTTGTTAGACTGACTGCCTCAAACAAATCACTGAACCTCTCTGCACCTGTTTGCCTTTTTGTAAAATGAAGAAATTATTATCTTCCACGCATTCTTCATGCAAGTGATGTGAGAATAACATACTACATCAGAAAACTGTAAGGATGTATATGAATAAGTGGTTCTCATTATGATAGCTGTCAAGAGTCCTCTTCCTGGGAAACTGGCATTTCATCATGGTTTTATAAACAAGCTCTCCCAATCACATCAGGTTGGGTCCAGAAACCCAGTGCAATGCCTCCTCGTCTCTGCAGTACAATGCCCCTATCTCTGCAAAGACGATGTTTTCCTCTTCTAAGGCACAGATTTGGATCTGCCTTCCTCTGCTTCCCTTACTTAATGCCTTATTGTCCAACTTTTCCTTTTCTTGAGCTGACTTCCTTATTTTCACAATCGACATGCATCTCCAGAGCCATGGCTCTTTTTCCACTAAATCTGTATTTCTTCAATGCCTTATCCCTCTCTACTCAGCCTGCTCTTGCCTTTAGTGGATTAAATAAAATGTGCCTATAGAAATCCCATGTGGGAAATGCTAGTAAAAAATTCAGGTAGGAGGGAGCTGTAGCTATGATCTTTGGCTGTGGGCCATCCCAGCAGGAGAAAACATAAGAGGACAGAAGTAACAACCATAAGAGACCAGCAGAAGAAAGACAAGTTGAATATCATTCATCAGAGTACAGAGAGAAAAGAAATCCAAAGCTCAGGTTTCTGAAGGCAAGACCAGTTGATCTCTACTTCCACCAATGACAGAGGAAGGAGTACTGGTCAGAGCTGACACAGAGCCTTGGTCAGAGTAGACACTACACATTCTCAGAGTTGCCTGTCTACCACAGAAAGAACTGAGCTGAGAACTGCAATAGGCTTTCCTCACTGGTCAATTTTTTTTTTCCTAACTAGTCAATTTAAATAATGCTAAGACGGCTGATAGTGGGAAAGAGGGACAGAATTGTCTTTGCTTGAGCTAGTGGAGAGAAGGTGCATTAATCTGCTGGTGTGGATCTGCAAAACATCCCTACTCCAGTCTTCTCTACCCCCAGCTAGTAACCCAGGAGCATCCTATTTCTATTTTTACAGTAGCATTGCCCCATCACCATGGCAACCAAAGGAAATTGGGGTGGGGTGGTAAAAGGGGGAATAAGCATTACCTCCTGCTGCTTGTCAGTTGTCAGCAAGTCCAAAAGTGGATTTTAGAGGCTGCCTACAGCTTGTGGGTAGAGGTGATGAGAAAGGGACATCTCAAACCTCCAGCAGGTAGACTGGAGACCACTTACTGATGGGGTTAAGATGACAGAAAAGAAGCAGAACTGGAAAACAGAACGAACCCACCATTGAATTTGATTTGGTTCTTGTCCAGTTCAGTTTGTGACAAAAATTGTAGAATTAAGTTCATGAACTGAGGTACCACTGTGCTCTGGATTTCTTAGTGTCTCCAAATGGGCAGGCAAATGGAGAAGCACGGGTCACTAGAACATCTTTTGTCTGTCCCATATACAACCCATGATTTAAACAGTGGTGAGAGAGAGAAGGAAGAAGTAGGATAGTACGTGAATTACTCAGTTAGCAGTGGTAATGACTCTGACAGTGGTAGGCTGAGACAGAAGGATTGCAAGTTAGAGGCTAGACTGGACAATTCAGTGATAACTTTGAGACTCTGTATCAAAATGGAGAGACAGACAGACAGACAGACAGACAGACAATGTAGCTTAGCATTTCCTGGGTTCAATCCCCAGTACTTAAAATTTTTTTAAAAAATGGGTCTCTCCGATTTCAAGCCCTTTATGAGAATAGCTTCCCAACTCACTCACTACATACCTTTTACCTCCCTCCTTCCAACACAAAAGCACTTCTATACAATGAGATGCAGCCCTCCACTGTTCTGGAGTTTGACTGCCTGAGTCAAAAATCCCAGTCCTAGGGGCTGGGGAGATGGCTCAGTGGAATAAGCACTTCCCTGGAAAGCACAAAGGCCTGAGTTCAATCCCCGGTTCTGCCAAAAAAAAAAAAAAAAAAAATCCCAGTCCTATCACTTATAAGTACATCAACCCAGGCAAGCACCTTAACTTCCTCATACCTCAGTGTCTTCTTCTGAAAAATGAGAATAATAATATTTAGAGCCAGACATGGTGATACCTATGAGTAATCCCAGTAATCCCAGCATTTAGGAGGCAGGAAGATCACAAGTTTAAGACCAGCCTAGGCTACATAGTCAGGCCCTGCTCAAAAGACAAAGTATCTATCTCAAGGCTGTGGTGAGGAGTAAGTGAGCTAATATGTATAAGCACTTACAACGTGGCTCACAACGAGTGCCTTTCATCATCTCATCATCCCAACTACCGCATTAAACATCTCATTTAAACCCTGGCTAAGGCCCTAGAGCTCATCCCAGGGAGGAGCACACCACGCTATCAGACCACTGCCCCATTGCAAGCAAGAGCTGCCCTCCTTGCCCTTTACCCTTTGTCTGTCACTACATATGCTTCTCCTTTATTCTTAATGGAAAGAGAGAAGAGCCACTTTCCACCTTTTGAAAAATACATTCCCCTCAGTAACTTGAGTGTCACTGCCTAATTCCTAACTCTTCTCCCTTTCCCTCTCGGTCTCCCCAGAGGCCACTCCTCAATTCTGGACTTGCTTAGAATCTCTTTTTGTTGTCCACAAAGTCCAGCAGGCTCCCTAGAGATGCTGAAGAAAATGAGGTAGGGGTCTCTGGGAAAGCAGGATAACTGAGATAAGATTTACAGGTATTGTGTGAAAGAAAAGGCTCAGTTCCTTGAAAAGGAGACCAGGCCCTGCACTCACCAGAGACGTCTGAGAACTCCTCTGCGCTGAAGTTCTGCTCACCCTCTCTGGGGAGGCTGATGAAGGCCTGCATGGCTGGGGAGAGGACAATGGTCCCACTGCTGGCCTGTCTAAGCAGACTCTCCAAGTACCTACGAGGTTGGCCAAGAAAGCATGGATTAGTGTCCACTCTGCTCTCTGTCCCACTGCCCCCTACACCACCACTGGGCCTGGGAAGAAAAACTCCAGTAAAGACACATATGAAGCCTCAAAGAAGATTGCGCAGGGATCTAATTAACACCACCAGCTGTTGGAGTAGAAACAACCAGCAATAGGGGCCTGTTCAGTTGTTTAAGCACCTGCTTGAGCAAACCCAGTCAGGCGCAGGGGACCACGGTCCGATCCCCAGTTCCACATGCCTTACTAGGCCCACCCTTAAGGCAGCCTGAGCTGGGCCCCCGCCCCCCCAAAAAAAATCCTTAGAAACAACCAACAGCAATATAATTCCACTTTGCCTCCAGTTTGCTGTCAAAGGCAGTGGTGCATACTTTACGTGCCTTTCCCTCAGGCCCTGCCCTTATCCAACAATTGCATTCTACCTCCCTTACCTCTAAAAGGTAAGATGGGATCGACCTGGGAATAAAAAAAAAAAAACTTGCCAGGTGTAGTGGTGCACACCTGTAATCCCAGCACTCAGGAGGCTGAGACAGGAGGATCCCTGCAAATTTGAGACCAGCCTGGGCTACAAAGTGAGCTCAAGGCCAGCCTAAACTATATAGCAGAGACCCCTGTCTCAAAAAATGACAAACAAACAAACAAAAAAACAAAACAAAACACTACTGGGGGGCCGCAGATATATTTTAGTGATCTAAGCACCTGCCTGGCAAGCGCAAGGACCAGGTTCAAACCCCAGCACCACATGCTGTGCGAACTGTATAATAAGACCCTGTAGGGGCCAGGGAGATGGCTCAATAAGAATAAGTGCTTCCCTGGCAAGCACAAGGGCCTGAGTTCAATCCCCGGTTCCAACAAAAATAATAATAATAATAATACCCTGTAACAAAAAAAAAAACACTACTGGGAGCTAAAAGTATACCTTGATGACAGAGCACTAGCTTAGCATGTACAAGGCTCTACGTTAGATCACTAGCAGAAAAAAACAAAAAATAACAACTAACAGGGGCTGCTCTGAAATATGTCTAGCCCTAACCTCTCCAATGAAAATGGTGTACTGAAGATTCAGAATCATGGAAGCCAGTCTCACATCAAACTTCCTGAGCAGTTAAGCGAAAGACCCAATACTATTATGGACTACTGGACTCTTTTAGAATATTGTGCTGAGTTTACACACCTAAAATATTCAAATAACGGAACTTAACAAAGAAAGGGTATACAGATGAATGTCCATTTTGTATCTGTGTATTCAAAGTGGTTAGGATAGATATATAGTTACATTCTCTTAACGAATAGAATGATTTGTTCTAATGGTGTTTGTAAATAGGATCTCAAGTCCGCATCTTGTACAGCAATTAACCACTAAGAAGAATGTATGCAATGTGTTAATTATTGAAACTGTCCTACCGATTTGATTTGAAACTGTCTCATTGCTATTTGTTTAGCAATAAAATTATGGCAAAAAAATAAAAAAATAAACTTCCTGAGCAGAGAAGCCCCTGGGAAATGGCTACCCAGTCTCCAAAACTCCCCCCTCACTTCTCATCAATGTTGGAAGGGTTGGGCTCCTGCCTGGGATGCCAGAGGAGAGTCTGAAGAACCTCTGCCCCTCAGGTACCAGCTTCAGTCTATATTTTATTGAGATCACAAGTTAATCACCAGGACTGAACTGAGCAACCAAACATATTTTTGTCCTTTAATTTCAATTAGTTGTCAAATTTTTGAAACAGAGATTATACATAAAATAGGAAGAATTTAGTGAGGCAGCATTCAGGTGGTGCTAAGTGATAGCTGTCCCTTTTAGAGAGCGGTAGTCTCACCCCATCCTCTCAAATTCCTAACATATGACATCTTTATGGTACCTGCCCAATTCCTGCTGGCATTTATATTTTCAAATTTTACTTCTCCCTCCTGGGGGCAGAGGGCACCGGGTTGGCAAGTAAGGCTCCTCTTTGAAACGTCTCCTGTAAAGCTGTTATTAGATTAAGGGCGCCACCCAGTGGCTTGGGGAGGTCAGAACTTTTCCTTATAAATTTCAAAGGAAACTTTTTGAGTTGTAGGGAGAAGGCCTCCTGCAAATCAGGAACAATCCAGTATGTGTGGCACGTCACAGGTGCAGATGAAGAGAGTGCTCTGGAGACAAGGGAAGAGACAGAATGGTTCTCAGAGGGAGAAGCTAGGGCGAAAGAGAAATAAGAGGATGCCAAAAAGAGCAAGTGAGGTCACTCGCCATTAAAACAGTAAGAACACAGAAAAGGAAGATTAAGAAGCCAGGGACATAGCTCAGTGGCATAAGCGCCTGCCTGGAAGGTTAAGAACAGGAGATTAAGAGGAAAGAGGCCAAGCAGCTGCAAGATAGGTTGATGGGTGCTACACTGAAGTTCAGAAAGAAACCTTTCAGTGGAAAGAAGGGGATTTGGGTTTGCTTTCTGCTTATTATTCCAATCTTCAAATAAAAACAAGCCTTTGAGGGCCCATGATGTGGAAGGCAAAATGCCTGGGACCTGAGGCCTTCCTGTGTGAAGAAAAAGCTGCCAACAAGGGGTGAGACGGTGTGGGGGGCAAGCAGCACTGACCAGTTTGTGTAGAGCGTGGTGATGGTCTGCTCCCCACAAGAGTCCAGGGGCTGGGTCTGCTGCAGTAGAGCATTGCGGATGACTCTGGACACGTCTGCACCCAAACACTGGGCCAGGGACTGTATGAATCCAACGTATGCTTTGACACCTGCCAACAGCTCAGAAGGCCTCAGGATCTCCTGTGTTGTGGGATTGTAGCCAGCTAGCCACACGATGGCTCTAGGTGATAAAAATCATAATTGCAATCACAATGATAAAGGCAACAGCAATTGTTGAGTGTATCCTGAGTTCCAGGAGCTGTGTTGTGATTTTAGGGAAATTTTGCCTAAACTTCATAGCAAGTCAATACAATAGGGACAATATTATCCCCATTTTGGGTTGGGGAGATAACTCAGTGGTCTAAGTGCTTGCCTGGCAAGCACAAGGACCCGGATTCAGTCCCCAGTACTGTATGCTGTGTTGGTCACCAAAACCAGGCGTGGTGGTGCACGCCTGTAATCCCAGCACGGGGGAGGCTGAGACAGGAGGACGAATATGAGTGTGAGCTGTGTAGTGAGACTCTGTACCAAACACATAAAATTGTACAACAACAATAATAATAATAAATCATTTGCTAAGGGCTGCTAAGCTAGCAGGTGGCAGGTCTAGAACTTGACCAAGTAACATTTCATCTCTAACCATTATGTTTTTCTGCCTCTCTGGAAAAACTAAGTCAGCTCCCAAATTACACCTGAATTTCTAGGCTCATGTGACTGCATCCTCAGTGCCAATAACTGTCTTTTCTCCTTGGGAAGCACTGTCAGAAATAGAAAACTATCCTCAAAAATGCTTGGGAGGGCAGTGCAGTCCCCAGCGACCATGGGGGCCGTGGATGGACAGAGTACATGTGGCTGGCAGATAGCCACTGCAGGGCTCACCAAGAAGACCCCCCAGTTCCTTCCAGGACCCCCACCTCAGGGACCTGAGATTTCACAGTTAGGGTCAATCACCTGACTTAAGGTTTTTTCCTCGTAAAAATGTAAAGCCCAGGCAGGAGGTGGAACATCTCACTTTAAACCTTTGTCAGTCACTTGCACGTCAGTGTAAATGAGTTTCTCAGATTCCTTGGAAACCACAAGGTATTTGGAGATTTTTTGTTTGTTTGGCATTTTTGGCAAAATGTTTGTGGAGGAAGGAGAGCCTGCTCCCCAGATGACAGTGAAAAGATCTTTCCAGTACCGCTTGACAGGGCAAACTGAAGACAAAGCCAGTGTATTTTCAAGTTTTCACTGAAGCCAAACACCTAGGCCAGTCTTGTGGCTTTTGGAACAATGATGAAGCAAGAGTCAGAGATATTCAGGAAAAAAATAGATTATCATATTTACATGCTCCAGGGCCTGTAAAGCACCACTGCTTCTCAAGGTGTGCCCATGGGCAATTAGCACACTTTCATCTTCTTGATGTTGCATATGCAAATAAGACACTTCCTCTTATATAGCTAATACGTGTGCAATGAAAACAAACTAATTCTACTGCACTCAAGTAAAGGGCTAATTGAAAAATAAGTCTGAATCACCCAGAAGCAAAACTCAGACTCATAACTGGTCTCCTTGCTCCTGCTAATACAGCCAGAGTGAAATACGGAGGCAAATATTATTCCAGCTTTGCTCAAAATTATCCAAGGGCTGCATCTCAGATAAAAAGCCCAGGTCCTGCCCTTACCAATCTTCCTCATAAGACTGAATATTTAAATTCTGTACTTACAATCTACAATATAGCTAAAAATTTCTTGTTTGTGGTTATTATGCCTTTTTACCAAAAAAAAAAAAAAATGGCTGTAAATTATTGTAAATGTATTACATTAACTTTCCTTTAAAAAAAAAAAAAGCCCAGGTCCTTGCAATGGCACACAAGTACTTTCGTGCCAGGCCCTTCCATCGCCCCTTGTAACCTCAGGTTCTCCCTTCTCTCACAGGCCTTCTGTGGCTGCCTCAACGGCCTCCTCCACATCCCTCAGATGAGCCCTGCATGTTCCCACCTCAGAGTGGTGGAGCAATCTACTTCCTCTGCCAGAATGCTTATGCCCCTGATTGTTACATGCCTGGCTTCCTTGATTCCTTCAGGGTCTTCCTATAACACTGCTTTCTCAAGGAGGCTTTCCCTGGCCACCCTATCTAAAACTGCAACACACACACACACACACACACACACACACACACACTTACTTCCATCTCCCTTTCCTGTTTTCTCTTTCTAGTCATTAGCATTTATCAGGACGTAATCTGCCACCTGCTCTGCTTCCTTATTTTTTTTGTCAATCTCCCCCACTAGATGGTAGATTTCATGGGTCAGGGATTTTTATCTATTTTGCATACTGCAGGATCAACAGCCTCTAGAATATTCCAGACACATAGTCAGTGTGCAATAAATACTTGAATAATTGCATGACTGTGTTATATATTCCAAAACAAAATACAGACTATTGAGGGATCATTCACAATTATTCTCTACGTGATGACTTCAGTATCCAATTCCAATATAAAGGGTACTACTCCTACTTTAGGAAAAAAGGGAATGAGGGACAAAAAGAAAAGGAAATTTATTTGACTAAGGCCTGTCATATGTGAGGAACACTATACTCATAATTATTTTTTATTATCTACCAATTCTCAATTACAGGTAATTTTCAAGTATCTATAAGATAAATATCATTATCCTTACATAGTACAAAAGAAAACTGGCTCAAATAAGCTAGATAGACATCCCACATCGGTGCTGTTTCTCATGGTCTGGATGTCAACATAGTTCTGTTGCCTGAAAATCTCTGTTCACTATCCTAAACTAAGAGTGGTTAACTCTGGCTGGTCAGCAAAGTCACTTCTAGAGGGCTGAGGAGATAGCTCAGCAGGCTAAGCACCTGCCTAGCAAGCACAAGGACCTGAGTTCAATCCCCAGTGCTGCATGCAGTGCTGGCCTTGGAAACCTGGGTGTGCTATGCAGGCTACCAAAACAGGGTGCAGTGGCTCACACCTGTAATCCCAGCCCTGGGGAGGCTGAGACAGGGGGATCAATACAAGTCTGAGTTGCATAGCAAGACCCAGTACCAAATAAATAAAAGATTTTTTTAAATCACTTATAAAGGTCAGGGGTTCTTCTCACTTGCTTTTCACAGAGGTGCTTGGGATCTATGCCAGACAGACTGCACCAGACTCTCCAGCACATGGCATGACCCCTGGGAAGGACCTAATGGGGCCCAAAGTTGAGGACTGCCAGCCTGTGCCAAAACAGACAAGGAAAGAGGGTACCTACTTGTTGAGCCTGGCCTCCAAGTGGCTGCTGAGATACTCAGAAGGGTGGATAATGTGTTCAAACACAGAGAAACTGTGTACGTGATTCATTGTCAGCGCCAGTTCCATCAAGTGCTGATGTAGCTTGTCCATGCTGGACAGAAAAATGAAGATTAATTAGAGGCCTGGCACTGTCTGTGGAAGTCACAGCCTTTGGGCCCTTTTCATTTTCTGGGAATACTCAGCCTAGCTCAGTACACATCAATGCTGACTTCAGAAGTAAGAAGACATTCACATGTACGTGCTTTGCCATATCCATTATTTCTTACCAGCACTTCCGTATTTTTTTCCCTGTATCACTTTCTTCTTCCATTTTTTCTTGTTTTTTTCCTTTTGGAGACAGAGTCTTTCTATGCAGTTCAGACTGGCCTTGAGCTCACTTTGTAGCCCAGGCTGGTCTCAAACTCCCACCAATCCTGCCTCAGCCTCCCAAGTGCTGGGATTACAGGCGTGTGCCGCCACGCCCAGCTCCCTCTCGCATTTTCTCCCTTCTCTGATGCAGCACCCCCTTGGCCCCTGGAACCCATCCTCACTTGGTGACAAGGCTGCGATTCTTCCGGTGACTCTCAGCCCCTGGCTTGTCGCGCTCTGGCTCTCCTTTCCTGGGAGCCTGCTTCTGTTTCATGGTCTTCTTATTCTTGGCCTTGCTGATGGTTGTGGCGCAGTGCTTAGGAAGAAGCTTTGGAAACAAGCAAGACGAAGGGAGAAAATGAGACTCATTACTAAAACTAGCTCCACGTAGCCCTTCTCACGGCGGGGAGGCCTCTCCATTATGGCCTGCTCCTTTAGCTCTCTGCTTCTCTCCTCTAATGGGGGCCGATATGCAGCATGCTCACCTTTCTCGGTCTTTATAAATCTCTCCCCACGCACAGCCAGTCTCAATGTCTCAAGACAGCAGAGTCCAGAGACTCAAAGCATCACTCTGCCACCCCACCCCGACAGCCTCTCCTAATGGAAAATTTCAAGCAAAAAGAATAAGATCCAAGAACTCCTCTCAGCTGCTCTTTCTATGGTCTTCCAGCCTTAGGAGAACATTTGTGTTTGTTAGATGGAGTGATCATGTCACTTGCCACACTCCTTTTATTCTGTCTCATGAAATGAGTTACCTACACCCCTACAGCTCTCCAAAACACAGGGTTCATGAGGTGGCCAACATTCTCTTCCCACTTCTTTTGTTGAAATGTATTTCTTACTAGTTCGCTTAAACATCAGTTCCGCATCTCTCCTCATTTCTAGTTAGCCACATAGAAAACAGAAAATAAAACTGGATATCCAGGTGTGATCCTCAGGGAATCACCTTGGAATTCTCTTCACTGATTCCAGTACTAAGGAGCACAGGCAGAGCATGTCTGAAAATCCCTCAGTAGGATTTTTAGATCAGCATAAGAACTACACAAGAAAACTAGTTTTGTTACTTTTTAGTCAGACTCTTTCTCTCTCTCTGGTTTTTTTTTGTTGTTGTTGTTTTTGTTTTGTTTTGTTTGTTTGTTTGTACTAAAGACCTAACTAGGGCCTTCCATCAACCTACACCCCCTATCACTGGTTTTGGCTTTGAGTTGTTTGTTTTGATAGGGTCTCATTAAGCCCCTAAATTGCCCATATGGGGCTCAAATTTGTAATCTTCCAATCTTAGGCTCCCAGAGTGCTGAGATTTGCACTTTAAAAAAAAAAAAATCCAAACTCTGGACCAATCCCAAAAAATCAAGTCCATTTTGATGAACAAAAATGTGTCAGCTCCCAAAAAAGGGCAAAACTGTCCATGGTAAATTCTGAAAACGGTCCCCCAAGATGTAACTGTATTAGTAATAGCAACATCACTAATGATTTACTCAAAATGTCTCTGGAGGGCCAATACTCATTTGGTGGTGAAAGTTCTGGCATATGTGAAAACAATTACTCACACCAAGGTTTAGTCATTCCTGATACACACTGAGCAAGGGACACAGGTAAAGAGATCAATGTTCATTTCCCTTTAACTTTTAAAGTTTCATTAGTAAATATCTGTAACATGTACCAAATGCATTCACTACGGGGATTTGGTACATGCACATACTGTATCTTAATCTTTTTGGTTGATATTGGAGTTATTAACATACTCATTTGCATATCTATGTACAAATACTCATTTTTTTTAATGTATTTAGTATGGGGCCTACAGGGTCCCACAACACAGATTGGACTAGTAGTGATCCTCCTGTTTTCAGCCTCCCAAGTGCCAGGATTGTGTCACCATGACCTCAGCACACACCGGGGGCGGGGCTGGCACAGCAAGCTGGGGATGGAACCCTGGCCACTGGGCTCTGCCTAGGCAGGCGCTTTAGTCTGCTGAGCTATGTGGCCAGCCCTTCATATACTTATTTTTATATCTTCCTTGTAGTAATTACTTATGTCTTTCAAAGACATATTTATAGTCCCTCTTCCCTTAAACTAGAACATTCCCAAGTGCAAGGATTGTTCCCACTCCAAGTATCTAGCACGAGGATGTTTGAGCTAACAATTAGCTGGGCATGATGGTGCATGCCTACAATCCCAGCATTCAGGAGGCTGAGGCAGGAAGATCACCAAGAGGTCAAGGCCATCCTGGGCTACATAGTGACCTCAAGGCCAGCCTTCATTACAAAGCAAGACCCTATCTTAAAAAAAAAAAAAAGAGAGAGTGCATATTCTATGTATTCTGTTTAATCTTTATGATATGTCTTTAAAGAATGTATTCTTATCCTTACTCTACATGAGAAAATGAAAAAGTTGTGCAGTAATATAGCTGTACATCTGCATCTGCGCACCCCAGCTCCCTTTCTACCAAATCTGATACAAAGACTGACTCAAACTCCAGAAGGGTGGGAAGTCTGGGAAATCCAAGACTCCAGGGCAACAGCAAAATTACTTCCTCATTTTCAAATTTTTTGAAATTTAGGTTGAGCTAATTATGACCAGGTGCTGTGAATCAGTCAAGGGAGGGGAGGGGAAAAACCAGAAGACAAAGACAAAAAAAAAAAAAAGCAGCCATGATGATAAACACAGGAGAGGCGCCTGAGGACACACAGCTAGTGCAGGTCAGGGTGCAGATGGACAGAAGGATGAGACAAGACAGGTGATGTGGGGCCACTGCCCTCAGCATGTGTACACACAGCAAAGACAGGAGGAGGAGAGTGAGCTGGAAAGTTAACTCATCTCCCAAAACTCTTCAAATGGGACACCGATCATGCTGGAGTGCAGCTGTTTAAACAAGAGTATTTTTAGACACCTCTGTGTAGTCCCAAGGGAGTGAGGGCTAACGAGACAACACTCAGGAAGGAATCTGGCCATAAATGCAAGGACTCAAAAGCTCTCATCACCCTGCTTGAGGAAGAGTTAGAAAACTCGACATCTGAGAGGAAAACAAAGGTGGAGAGGGCAGACAGTGGGAGCAAAAGACTGAAAGAACACCCTGAGCCCACCTGCTCGCTCAAGTTTCGCTGTTCAGCACAGAGCTCCAGAACACAGTTGCTGGTCTGCTTGGCCAGCTCTTCCAGGAAGGAATTGCAGTGGTGAAGACCATGGTTCTTCAGATGAGGATACTAAGGGGAAGACCAAGAGAGCAGCTGTCATCACCAGGACCACCACTGCTTCCCCAGCACACTGCACGAAGCCCCTTGCCTGAGCTACCCTCTGCTACAGAGGAGGAAACTGGGGCCCAGGGAGAGCGGCCAACTCAACACCAACTGAGATATGAAGGGGTTCATGTTCATAAACCTAGGCTTATTTTCCACTTAGTACTAAAACCAACCCTTGGGTTTGTTTTGTAGACTAAGGATGAGCTATGACTGGAAAAATACCAGGGCTTGGAGTTCAGGACACTCACCTCCTCTGGGCACATCTCATGAGTGCAGTGGACAAAATGGGTGCAAATCAAGGGGAAAGCAATGGCATAACGCAACATGGTGGGTTCCTCTAGGGTCATTGCAAACATCTTCTCAAAGGTACGGAGATGAAAGCTGCAGATTAAGGGGAAGAGATGTAAAGCCATAATGTAGGAGTTAGGCCCTTTGAAGTGGAGATGATATTAATCCTTTCAACAAATATCTATGCCAAGTATAGTGATACATGCCTGAAATCCCAGCACTTGGGAGACTGAGGCAAGAGGATCACTGTGAATTCAAGGCCAGCCTGGACTTCATAGTGAAGTCCAGGTAGCACAAGGCCAGCCTGAATTATAGGAGACCACAGGGGCCAGGAAAGAGATCAAATGAATCAATGAAGAAGCCTAGACCCAGACATACCAGAAAGTAGACAGGTCAGAAGTTTCCACCAGAACCTTCTCTATCGAGTCCAGCATTTGGGAGTGAAAGACGATGAGATTCATCACCTTGGCTAGGTCAGGGTTCTCGTGCAGGTGCAGGGGGGCCTTGGCCACACTGGTATATGCCTAACGGCGGCCATGGGAAGAGGGTGGGGAAAACAAGGTGCATGAGTTGACATCCCTGCCTTAGCTCTGCAGCTTGGCTTGGGCATGTCCCATCCAGTCATCAGTTTTCAAGATTCACTCTATTCATAAAGCAGAGCTCAGGAAATAAAGAGAGAAGAGACACAGAACAGCAAGAACCTGAGGACAAGGCCACTAACAGAAACAGACCATTACCTGAAGGCGGAACCAGTCCAGTCTCAGTCCAGAGAAATCAAATTTCTCCTCACTATCAACTGCAAGAAAAACAGGAGCAAGTATGAAAGGAAACAGTAGCACAGCATCCCAGCATCTACCTGTATAGAACAGTAGCTCCTTTTCAATGTCATCTTATCCTATTCCCTGACTCAAAGACCAATAGCTTTTTTAAAAATATCAACCTGCAGGCCAGGGAGATGGCTCAGTAGAATAAGCGCTTTCCTGGCAAGCGCAAGGACCTGAGTTCAATCCCCGGTTCCACCAAAGAAAGAAACACTGGTGCCTTTGGGGCTGGTGAGATGGCTCAGGGGCCGGTGAGATGGTTCAGTGGTCTAAAGCACCTACTTACAACAAGCTTAGCAAAGCACAGGGACCGCGGTTCAATCCCCCAGTACCACATGCCAGCCAGCCCCACACCCTGGTGGGCTGGGCTGGCCACACACACACACACACACACACAAATATTTTTTTTTTAAAGTTAAAAAACAAAATCAACCTGCACACATGCCCCGCCTCCCTTCAGTTACCTTGTTTGAGATTCAGAGAGGAGAGCGTGCTGACAAATGACGACATGATGACGGACTCCTCCTCTGGACACACAGACAGGTTCTAAAGAGAAGTTGGAGTTGCTATCAGTGGGTGCAGGATTACAGGTTCAGTAAGTGTATAAAGGTAGGAAAAAATGCTACTTGTCAAAAACAGGAGCCAAGCTTCAGCTAGAGAGAACTTTCTGGGATCCCTGCCATGTTAACATCCAAATTGGCTTTATCCTTCTTTCCTACTTCTATGTAGTATCACTGGGGGTGGGGAGGACTGCTGACATTATCCATGTTTTGTTCTTTTAACAAATACAGAGAAAGAAACCAGTCTTTTTGGTACCAAAGCTACAAAGCATGATATTCGGCCAGCATGGCTTTGAGAGGAAAATGACCAGAGGTCACCCTGCAACTTCCAAAGTAAAATTAATTAAACACACCTGAATGATGTCACTGAGCACAAGAGCATCAAATCTGGCCAAGTACTGAAGGTGGTATTGCTGGATCACTTTGACATGTTGTCGCACCAGAGCCCTGATCTCCTCCAGCAAGAAAAGTAGCTCTGCAATGCTCCTGGGAGGGTGAGGATGAGAACAGAAGGAGGCAGGAGAGTAGGAATATGAATGAGACTCTCAGTAATTCCAAGGCATAACCTGAGCCCTCCCCAGGTCACCTGACCACTTCCCCCAGTCCACCCCAGGTTTTTTAGCCAGGTCAGGTACTAACGAGTCAGTATAGTCTTCAGGTGTCTTTGTCTTGGTGACATTTTCTGTATGGCGAACCAGCCAGGTGACTTCATCACGAATAAAGGACAGGGCCATGAAAGCAAGAAGGGCCTAAGGGGAAGATTGGAGCTATTAGAATATTCAACTTCATAAATGGACTTCAAAGCGCAGAGGAACCTACTATAAGAACCTGCAAACAGACACAGCTGTGGAGTCACTCTGACAGCACCCCATGGTGAACACACAGACCCACAAAACACCTCAAGCCTGTGACACAAAGTCAGAAACCCCTGTGGGTCCATGCTGGTTCACAGCCACTACCTTCCCCACCCCCTCCATATTAAATTTTAGAAATATTTGCTTGGCCTTTATATGATTTAAAACAAAAGAGCAAGCTCTGTCATCAATCACTTCACTCTCAAACAGAAGATAGGATAAGCACACAAAGAGCTATAATACATGATTACTACAATGCTGTGAAATACACAGCTATGTAATGAGTACTCTAAGATTCAAGAAATCAGCATAGGGGACAACTCACTCAGCACCACCCTCCCTTCTGTCTTTCTCTCAGTCAGGAACTTTCTTTCCCCCAATAAATATATTCTGTACTTTAAAAAAAAAAAAAAAAGAAGAAAGAAAGAAAGAAGCATAAACCTATATAAATAGATCATAAGACTCAAAAAACACAAAATCGAGAGAAAGCAAAGTCCCTCCCTTATCATTCATTGATCTCAGGGCCCCTCCCCCCAATCTTTCTGGCTTGCCTTAGGACCCAGTAGTCCCGGCTCATCCGTTAACACGGTCTCCAGCTCCTTCATAGCCGTCCGCAGAAACTCCCGCCTTTGACAGTGAAACTGGCCACTGTGGAAGACAAGTGGAAACTAAAGAATATCGCCTGCCCAGCCCTTTGCAATTCTCCACATGCAGAACCGAGGACAGCTGTATTTAGGAAGGGCTAGCAGGCAGAAGGAAGGTTCAGGGACAATGTTAGCTTGGGAAAGAAAATGCAAGAATCCAGGGGCCGGCAGCACATTCTGGGGTTGAAAGGAATAGATCTATAGGGAAACTCACAGTGGCTTGGGTGACAGAGTGTCAGGAAAGATTCCTAGCCCGTCCCTTCTCCCAGAGCCCATTCCCATATTCACCTGTTTGCGATCACATATTCCTTGCTCTCCTTGATATCTGCCACACGCTTGCCATACCTGCAGAATGACAAGCACAGCAGGGTTGAGAAAAGTAGCAGCTAGAGCCTTGTTCCCATCCTCAGACTCCAGCTACTGCCTGGGGAGGCGCAGACAGCCCTCACCAGCAGAAGTTTGCCACTCACACTTCCCCAGCTCATTAATAAAGGACTTATAGTTTCCCTTATATATAGATCATTCTGATCTCCCCTTCATTTTGTAGATAAAGAAAATGATAACTAGGAAAAAGGAAATGACCTGCCCAAGGTCACACAGGGCTTTAATGGCAAAGCTGACCTAGATTTCCCCCTCTTGTCCTGCGCACCTACCTTCAGGCCTTCAAGACAAGGCCCTTGTCCCAGTTTCAGTGGGACCAAAGGAGCACTGCACAAATACCACACAGACCCAGCTCTCATCTGGCCATACCCTGGGTCGCTTTTCCACCCACTTCCTCTTGAAAGTGAACCTCACTGCTATCTCTCAGTTATTTCAATCTCTTGCTCTCTGTTAGCTTATTCTCTCCTCCCAACAAATAAGTTCCAAACCTCCCTCATCCTAAAAGTCCCCTCCCTTAACCCTGAACTTTTGCCCACTCTCCCACACTAACAAACTCCTCCCAAAAAACCTCCCTTTTGACTTCCTCACCTCTCGGTGACCTTTGAATCCCACAAGGCCTTTGGCACTTAGCAAGCTGCTCTTTCTGAGGTCAGTATGAACTTCGGAATCATCAAATGAAAGACTTTTCATTATTTGTGGTTTGCCTGTAATATTTGGCCTTTTTTTTTTTCTACTAGCAACCTATGATTAGATCCCAGCAGTGCCAAAGACTCTGCTCTGTGTTCGATGCATTTCGCCATATCACTCTGGCCACCACATTAGTGGGACTTCAAAGACTCTCATGTCCCTTCTTTAAACCACTGCCTTACTGACTCTAGGGCAAATTAAAGAAAGTTTAGAAGGCCGGGGAGATAGCCCAGCAGCATTAAGTGCCTGCCTGGCAAGCACAAGGCCCCAGTTTGGTCCCTGTTACAAGAAAAAAAACAAAGTTTGGAGTTATAGTTATCTTAATTGAATCCGTATTCAACTCTGCATTATTCCTGATGGCTAGTTATTTCCACCTTTACATGATACAAAGGAAAGAAACAGGATTAAGAGTCAAAAAATCCATAAATACTTCTTGTTAATGAGAGGCCACTCAATGAAGGACATTATCACTGAGCTTCTCGTTTTCTCATTCACAAAAAATATATATTATACCTTATATCAAAACAGATCATCTATGTCAAAGAACTCCCTACACTATAAATCTTAGTTGCTGATCTTAGTGATGGGGAACTAAACACTATCCAAATATCTAGGGGGCCGGGAAGATGGCTCAGTAGAATAAGTGCTTCCCTGAGCCCGAGTTCAATACCTGGTTCCTCAAAAAAAAAAAAAAAAAATCTCTTCCATTCCAAGTGGTAATCAAAACAAAAAAGTGGTAATCATCAGAAAAACTTTTTCACATATACCCAAATATTCTCCCCCTGTGATTTGTTTGTTTTGTTTTGTTTTGGTGTGAGGGAAAGAACTCAACCTTATACTTGCCAGACAGGTGCTTATGTTGCTGAGCTATCTCCCAATTTTTAATTATTAATCATAGATTTACTGGCTCTTAACTGTAGAAATTGTTCTTGCTTTTGCAATATTGGGGGATAAGCTATGTCCCCAGAATCTTTGCTTTTTTGTTTGTTTTTTAACTTTATTTGCATTTAGTTTATGCTTAATTTATTCCCATGCCCTAAGTTTTTGTTTCTTCAGTTTCTTCTGGAATATCTTTTTCTTCTGTGCAACTTCCTTCTCTGGTTTGGGAACAATTTGTTCATTTTCAGTAAGGATCATCTCAGTATGGCAGGGGGAGCTCATGGATGGGTTAATCCAGCCATGAGCTCTGCAAGTACAGCGGCGCATCTTGGGTGCTTTGTTCACCTGGATAAGTTCAATAACCAGAGAATCTACATCTAAACCCTTAAGCTCAGCATTACTCTCTGCACTTTTAAGCATGTGCAGCAAAAATCCAGCACTCTTTTGAGCCACCGACCCTGTGTTCAGCCCCACTGTTTGGCCTGGGCACACCTACCAACTCCACCATTGTAACGCCAGAATGGTACACATTGCTGCTTTAATGTGACATCCTTCAGCTACTTGGTGGCCTTTCGGATATGCATACCCTTGATGGCCTGGGCAGTTTCACGCATGTTCTTAAAGTGAATGTGAAAATTTAAGCCTTTTGATTTGCATGATTTTGTGGGGTTTTCTGGGTCGAGAGAGTAGCGAACCATTTTCACAGGTCACCTAAGGCCGCTCACAGGAAGAGCTTGTTTTGTTTTTTGAGACAAGGTCTTACTAAGTCACTAAATTGCCCAGGCTGAGCTTGACTTTGTAATCATCCTGCCTCAGCCTCCCAGAGTGCTGGGATTAGAGGTATGCTCCACTAATCTGGTTTTGCAATGATTATTTTTAACTTTGTTTTTATTATTTCTTTTTTTTCTCTATTTTGTTCTCTTTAGGTAATTTTTTCTAACAGTATATTGTTGCAGAATCAGAATTCACAAAGGCTGTTGAGAACACAATTTGTTTAGAGAGTAACTTGGTAAAAGCTATTAAAGTGAGAAATGTGTATAACCTTTACCTTAGTCCACATCTGAGAATTTACCTATAGATATATTTACATAATTTCACAAAGATACATGCCTAAGGATTTCATTATAGCATTTGTTTACAATCATTTTTAAAAGGGAAACAGTTCAAATATTTATCAACAGGAGACTGGGCAAACACATTATGTTAACACCACAAAATGGAATATTTTTCAACTATTAAAAAGAACAAATCTCTATAGACTGATATTCAAAAATATTCAGAATACAATAATAAAAATAAGCAAACTAGATATAAATACAATGTAGATCCATTGCTTTTTAAAATTACTCATTTTCGAAAAAGAAAAAAAAGAAGTTTTTCAATTTCAAAAATAAATAAATAAAATTACTCATTTTCTGGCAAGTGCATGGTCCTGAGTTCAATCCCCAGTACCACAAAAAATAAATAAATAAAATCACTCATTTAAGATTGAAAATATGGGAAGACAGTATGCAATATGTTAATTATTGAAACTGTCCTACCAGTTTGATTTGAAACTGTCTCATTGCTATTTGCTTCTCAATAAAATTAGGGAAAAAAAGATTGAAAATATATACACATCTTTGTATGTTTATATGTGAATCTATAGCCATGCACCCATACACAGAAACATCTAGAGAATGGACATCAAAACATTCAGGGGGTGAGACTGTAGGCAATTTTCTCTTTGTATTTTTCACTTTCTGGCTGTTATATCTGCCATTAGACCTAGTAACGTAGGTAATCTGACACCCCTTAGGCCCACACCTCCTCCACACGGCTCTGTCTACTCTTCCCTTTACAGTCAAATTACTTCAAAGAGTTACTGAATTCCTTATCTCCCATTTGCTCCTAACCCCACCACAACCCCTCCTTGAATCTCATCACTTAATGGAAGTTATTCAGAAGAAGAGCACTAAATTCAGGCATGGTGGCACAGGCCTGCAACTCTAACACTCAGGAGGCTGAAGTAGGAGGATTACTGTGAGTTTAAAGCCAGCCTGGGTTACATCATGAGTGCAAGGCCAACCTGGGTGGGCTACATAGTAAGACCCTGCCCCCAAAAAAAAGAAAAGAAAAAAGAGAGCACTAAGATGATCTGTATAGTCAAATCCAATGAACTTTTTTCAATCCTCATTTTATTTGCTTTCTTAACATCCCCTAACATAGATAACTAGTCCTTCCTTCCTGGAATGTTTTCTTCCCCGAGATTTTGTTTTCCTTCTTCTTCTCAATGTCTCTTGTTGGTTTCTCTGTCTCTGGCTAGCCCTTAAATAGCAATGTGTCAAGAGGCTTGTTTCTTATTCTTTTCACTCCATATGTTCTTCATGAGCAGTCAATGCACTGAACCACATGAGATTCTCAGCATTTTCTGGGAGAAGGAAGTACTAGAAATCAGACTCACAATCTCATGTTTGTCAGGCAGGTGCTGTGCTCCGGAGTTGTATCGCCAGCCCTTGGTGTTTTGGATTTTTTGGTGGTGGTGATGGTGGTGGTTTTTAATCTTGACAGCTTCTCTCTCTACAACCCTTTTCTCTGCTTTAGGAAACTTCCTGCATTTCTCCCCAACTCACACATTTTTCTTCTTCTTTATTCTCTCTTCTTCTTTTCCTCTTCTTCTTCTATCTTCTTCTATCTTCTTCTTCCTTTTCCTCTTCCTCTTTCTCTTCTTCTTTGTCTTCCTTCCATACTTTTCAACAGTTTAACTGTGAGGTCTGCCTGTCTCCAGGTTTTTCCAGATCCTGCAAGATCCAGTGCAAGTGTCCTAATGGCTTCCAAAGCACTCTGTGCTCATACACCACAATCCTTTACACTATAACAACAGTGTGCCTAATTTCTACCAATTTGTAAACTCCTCAGCAACAGAGATTTTACCTTTTATTTAACAAGTGCAGTTCATTTAATGTACCAGGATCTTTTCTACATATTTTTCAAATAGTAGCTTTTTCATTCTTTACAGCCCTGTGAGGTCAGTTACAGGTGAGGCATTACTATCCCACATTTTGCAGGAAAGGAAACTGAACTAATGGCACAGAAAAAGTAACTTGCATAAGGTTACACAGCTAATAAGTGGTAGGGCTTGAGTTCAAACCCAGGGTTGGCTGGTTTTAGAGTTCATGTTTTAATTTCTGTATTATCAACCATTGTATGCCTAAAATAGTAAGGTTTGGCTTGGCTTATCTTGGTTTGGTTTGGTTTACTTTGGTTTGGTTTTTGAGACAGGGTCTCGCTGTGCAGTTCAAACTGGCCTTGAACTTGAAGCAATCCTCCTGCCTCAGCTTCCAAGTGCTGGGATTACAGGCATGTGCCACCTCACCTGACAAATACTAGGTATTTGATAATTGCTTCTTCAACAGTTAGAATTAGTTAGAGTATAGTTACCACCTATACTCTAGGAACTCACAGAGACCAAAAGTGGCAGGGGGTAGAAGTGCTAAAAGTCCCCAAAGATAAGTTTGTTTCTCATGCCTCTCACCCTTTCAAACTGCTAAAGAGATCCTCAGTAACTTTGTGCACCTGTAGCACATCTTCCCGGATGAGGGTGAGGTACAGCGAGCCCTGCAGACCCAGCTTCCACAGCTTCTGGCACTGGCTGTTGGAGTTGAGGCACCCATGACAAAGAAGAAACCCAACTGTCGGTAGGTAGAGTCCAGAGAAAGCCTGTTAGAACTCACTCTCCATGTAAGATGCTGCTGCATCATCAATCCCCACCCAGCCCCATGAAGCTTACTTATAATCCAGCGCTCCATCACTTCCACAGACAGATACTCACAAGCCATCTGTGAGAAGAGAAGCAGAAATGGCAAGTGATTATTTAACCTGGTCTTCTCTTAAAGAAGAAAAGTCAATCTAGAATCCAAGTATCAACTCTGGGAGCTGAGGATGTGGCTCAAGAATAGAATACATACCTAGCACAGGAGAGGACTTTGAGTCAGTCCACAGCACCAACATACACACATGCACACACGTGCACACACACTTTAACAAGCAAGATTGGGGCCCTTGGATAAACCAGTAGCTGAGAATCCTGGCAATAATAGAGAGCTGGCACTGGAAACAGACTGAGGAGGGGGATTTTATTTTTTGGAGGGGGAGGGGAAGTACTGGCTCAGGATGCCTTAAGAGCAGGTCTGGAAAGGCATGTGCGTCTGGGAATCGAACGCCTATCCTGAGCCTGACTGCCTTGGCTTAAGCAGTCACTTAAACAGCTGAGCTAATGGGAAGGCCCCGGAAACAGACTAAGGAAAAAGAAGGGGAGCTTAGGCTAGAAGAGAGCACAAAACAAAAAGTTTAACCTCTCTTAACAGTTGAACCTTTATTTTATTTATTTATTTCAGTTCAGATACTTTTACTGACAAAGGAACAAGACTCAAAACCTTGCCTGATGTTTTCCTCCTTTAGATTCTCATACTGTATAAATTATAAATCACAAGTATAAATTATTCATTAGTTGCTTATCACTAATCTTATACCATCAGTTGTGTTCTTATGATGACAGGGCATGTCTTTCCTATTACACTAATTTATTTTATTTGTTTTTTTTGAGATAGGGTCTCGCCATGTCCTTCAGTGTGGGCTTGAGCTCACCCTGTAGCCCAGGCTGACCTCAAAGTCATAGTGATCCTCCTAATTCTGTCTCCTGAGAGCTGGGATTCCAGGTGTGCCCCACCACACCCAATTTAGACTATAAATTCTTTGCAGGAAGGGCTTTGGACCTGTAGTAGTTGAGCAAAAACATTTTAATTGACTGCTAAGCTCAAGTTCCCACTAATGCCTAATGGCTGAGTTTCTTCCATTTGTTCGTTCATCTTATGAATATCTACTGACTAATTCGAGCCCAAACAGAGGCTGCAACCCAACCATGACTTTTTAACTATAAGAAGTGATCTACCTAGAGGTATATTCTGTGGAGGGCTGGACTCTTAGGGCTGACCTTTTCTGAAGGTTGACCTGCCATGGAGATGGCCTTGGTGAGCAGGGAGAAAGGGAACTCACCGTGTCCGAGCTCGCAGGGTTAATCATGGTCTGGGGAGTGCTGAGGATACTGAGAAGCTGGGCACTGCGCCACTGCTCAGCCCCCTGGTTCCTCCGGACAAAGAGGAAATGCAAAGAAAGGAGGGCTCCACTCACTGCCTGTGGAAGAAGGCAAGTGAAACCTTAATGCAAAAAACAGGAACAAATACTTTTGCCAGAAGAAGTCTCCACTGTCTCCATGAACTTGCCTTTGTGTGAGGCCCAAACTCTTCTGTCAGCTTCTTCAGTGGATGGTCATATTCTAAGACCATCTGGCCCAAACGAGCAAAACTGGGGTCACTGGAGGAAAGCAGAGATGAGAAGAGTTATTATAGACCTTAACCCTGAAGTAAATGCAAATGTTTGCTTAAAGGACAAAGATGTATGCATAGGCTGGCATTCCCTACCATCTCTGAAGATAGACACACTAATCTGTGAGTTACATATACTGGTACCCACTTCCCATGCAAGTCTACTACTCTGTGGTTAAATAGAACCAACCATACCACACAATGTGAGGTAAGCTCACAAATGTGACTTTCTGTTAAGTAAAATCTGGTTGGATATATAATAAGTACTTCATTTGTGTCAGCTACTTAGAAATAAAGTAACATACCTGGAACTAAATATGCGTGCAACTCAAAAGGGTACATAAATATTCAAAGATGAAGGGGAAGGCATGTGCCAAGGTATCCTTGTAGACATATGGAAATAGGCATCTCACATAGAATGACCTGCCATATCCCATTCTGATTCCTCTGGCCTTTGGCTTTCAGCTCATAATACTTATATTTAAACTAATGAGGGGGACAGAATTACACATCATCCAAAATTCATTTATATTTGTCTTCAAATGTATTATGTTACTTACTTCCAAAGGCTTGATCTTACTGACATTGCCATTAATATTAAAAAGAACTGTCTTCCCCTTTTCTAATAACCTGAAAAGTAGATTATGAGCCAGTCCAAGATTAAAAATTGATCAGAGATAATACAAACTGGATAATCCACTGGAAGATATTCAAAAGTTTTACATATTTATAAAACATATAGATATAGATATAGATACAGATATAGTTTGTTTGTTTCCCCTAGAGTTTTTAATTGTCTTTTTTTAGGGGGCAGGCCAGGAATCTGACTTGGGACTTTACACTTGCCAAGCACATACTTGTACTGTGGAGCTATATCCCTGGCCCTTGTTAACCACATATAAAAATGTGCCTTGTTTTCTATGTGTCATCATGTAGATCATAAACTCTCACATGAGAAGCTATGGCATCTACTTCTTGTGTACACATCGCTACTTTACAGCACCCTAGATGAGGCTCTTTGCCAACTCTTCACTCACCCGTGCCCATGCAGCATCTCGTGGGCACAATTGTACATGCCAATGAGTACTCGTCGGTCCTCAACTCGTGACAGAAGCAAGATAACTGAGGTGTAAGTCACAATCAAGTCCAGGTAACTCCGAGTGAAGTCAAAGTTGAGATTCTAAAGGAAAATACAAGGCCCAAGGACAGCATGGCCACGTAGTCCAGGCAGTACTAAAATAGATGCTGAATGGGTTCACATCGAAATAGGGACAGTTTTTGACTCAAAAGAAGAGAAACAGAAACAAACTGCAGGTGCTAAATATGAGTTTAAAATACAAGAAGACCAGGAAATATGGTAGCATTTGGGAGTGGAGGGAGATACATTAAAATATTTATAATTTTATATTCATTAAATCATACTGCTTATCTATATCACAGTAAGTACATTGTAACTTCAGCATTCTGCAAAAGAACCACAGTTCTGAGAAGGAACAAATGAAATGGCCATTTTTCCAACACCACACTGCCCAACCTAGACCTCACCTTTCCTTAATTCTATTTTATAGTAGAAGAAAATTGCAAAGGATCTTACGATATCAAAATGGCACTGGCAGGCATCAATGGTATTGAGAAGTTCATACACATGATCCTGAGGGTAGAATTTAAGATAAGTATAAATTAATAATAAAAAGAAAGTGACATATACTACCAAAATTTAAAGGGAAAGACCCACTGCCTCTGCGAGGCATTGTTAAAAAGAAGGCAGTGTCTCCCCTGTTAGTCATTAGTGAACCCTGTCAAGTTGCCCTGCCAAATGCCTATGTGTCCACAGGCACAAGTCATTACTATATCACACACTCTTTCTGATCTTATCATCCCTGTATCCCATTCCTTGCAAAGTAAAATGAAACAATTTTGGAAAAAGTCTGGTAGTTTCTTCTAAAATTAAACCTACTCATCCAGGAGCGGGGGGGGGGGGTGCGTAGCACATGCATGTTATCCCAGCACTTGAGAAGCTGAGGCAGGAGGATCACTGCAAGCTTGAGACCAGCCTGGGCTACAAAGTGATCTGAAGGCCAGCCTGAGATGCATATCGAAACCCTGTCTCAAAAAGACAAAAAAGAGACTGGGCATGGTGGCATGTGCCTGTAATCCCAGCTCTTAGGAGGCTGTAAACAGGCAAATTACTACAAATCCAATCTAGTAGTGAGACCCTGAACACCCTGTAGACCCTTCCCTAAAATACAAAAAAAAAAAAAAAATCAAAAAAGACTCTTTTATAAAGAACTAGTAGAGAGGAACTCAAATGTTTCCAGCACAAATAAATGATGGAAATATTAATTATCCTGATTTGATCACTGCAAACTGTACATATATAACAAATTATCACACTGTATCCCATAAATATGGACAATTATGATAATCTAAGAAGAGAGAAAACCAAAAAGCTCTTATCATGATTTAGCAGTTCAATTCCTAGATAAAAAACATGTCCCCATGAACACTTGCACTTGAATGTTTCCAGTAACTTATTCATAATGGCCCAAACCTGGAAACAATCCAAATCTCCATCAATAGGTGAGGAAACAAACAAATTGTATTAGCACAATGGAATAGTTCTCCACAAAAGTAATCACTGATGAATACAACATAAATAAATGTCTAATAAACACTACCTAAAAGAAGCCAGGTGTTTTTTGGTTTTTATCTTTCTTATTTTGCTTTTATTTTTGAGATAGGATCTCACTAAGTAGTTCAACTTGGCCTTAAACTCACTTTGTAACCCAGGCTGGTCTTGAATTCAGAGCAATTCTCCTGCTTTAGCCTCCCAAGTGCTAGGATTACAGGCCTGCACCATCACACCCAGTATCTAGATGTTTTTAATGACTATTTCATTTAATTCTCAAAAACAGGATAGTAAATTTAGTTGTCATCACTATTTTTCTTTATTTTTTTAAGATAAGATCTCTCTTTTTTAGAATATTTTGCTGAGTTTACACACTTATAATATTCATTAACGGAACTTAGAAAAATAGGGTATACAGATGAATGTCCATTTTGTATCTGTGTATTCAAAGTGGTTAGGATAGATATATAG